CGAAATCCAAAAAATCACAAACAAAAGCATCAAAATTAGATTTGCATTTAAGGTTTTCATTTTTTTTGGAAAATAAAAATATTTTTTCCCCAATAAAGTTTATTTTTACTTTTGAGAGGAATAGAAACGTTATTTTGGAATTTTGAAACGACAGAAATGTTCCATTTTTAATGTAGATTCTAAAATGGGGTCAAATTTTTGATTGAACCGTTATCCATTGAAAAACCTCGATTTTAAAATGTTATTCCAAAATATTCATCTAATGATATAGTATATATTTATTAATTATTACTTTTTATTCAATTTTCACTTTTGGCGGGATTTCATTTTTTTTTGTTGTATGGGCCATATTGTTCACCCAAAACGGAAAACAAAGGCAATGCATAACATTTTACTCCACGAACGTCGTCGACTCTCAGCGCGACAGATGCTTGGTGCTTGCATAATGACCGGAATGCCATATACAAAAGGTGCTCGCTTTCTTTCTCTTTGTGGAACTAAGCCCCCTGTGAAGAGTGGTGTCATGAGACAACAGAGATTTTGTGACGATAAGATTAGAAGACTTAAAAGTATTTCCCTAATGCTGTCGAGAAAGTCCTTCAGTGGTTACTTATCCATTGATGCAAGATGGACGCACAGGCGAAACTCGCCAAGTTGTACAGTAACTGCGCTCGATGCTGTCACAAAAAGAGTTCTTGCATGCGTGAACATCAACCATATTGGTGGAAACAGACAGCATGCTCAGTATTCCGGAGCTTCCAACAATATGGAAAGTGCTGGAACTCGAATCATCTTGAAGCAATTAAAGAAATACAATATCTTGAAAGATGTTAAAGAGATTATTAAAGACCGAGATAACAAAAGTGTCTCTGTCTTTAAAGAATTTGGCGTCTCTCATCTTGAAAGATTCGATCCAGGTCATGTATCAAAAAATATCTCAAAAGATTTTACAAAGTTCTCAGCTTCTCATAAGACAGTTGAAGTTTTCAACGACAAGACTCAGAAGATTGAAAAAATAGAGAGACCTTTCTGGGGTCTGAATGCAAGCCTAAGTATGTGGCTTTGGTCATGTTTTGCCGAAGAAAATATTGACAAACGTACGAAAATGTGGGAGAATTGTGTCTACCATTACGTAGGCAATCATTCTTTTTGCGAACCGCACAATTACAAATGCTTTGAATGGCAAAAAGGTGTCAATTCGATCCAACTTCAATTCATGCTCTATGACTGGGTTCACAAATGGACACCCATAGTTTCCAAAGTTTCTTCCATTGGATCTACCTGCATGAATGAAGCGTTTAACTCCAAAATTGCATGCTATTTGGACAAATCAAGAGCCTGGAAGAACATTAACATTAGAGTTAACGTTGCAATCTTAGAATGGAATGATCCAGAGCATTTTCTCGGAGATATACAAAAAGCATTACATCTTCCCCCACTTCCAGAAGATTGTGTCAAATCATTTGAAGAGAATTGTTACTCCAAAATGATATTGAAACAAAAAACTGTTACAAAAGGTTCTAAAAAACAGAACAAATACAAAAAATCCATTCAGAGTGTACCAGGAGGAGATTATCAAGTTTTCAAGTCCGAATGGGAATCAGAAGACGAAGACATTGATGACTTTGATTAACGAAAATTACATTTTATTTATTGTTTTTGTTTTTAATTAAATTATTATTATGCTCATTTTCTTATTTTGATTTTTTCTCATTATGATATAAATAATTTATTAATGCATTTATCCAATAATTATGCTATGATATTTTTATGCCTTATTTCATTTCTCTTATATTTGATAATCTGGTAAAATATAGTTCAGACTATAATCATTTTAGATTATTGATATATTTATATAGGTTAGAATAAAATTAGTTTCATTTTCTACTTTTATTTTGAATTAATAATTTATAATATCAAATATTATGGCGTAACCTCTCCTTTAAAATATAGATATATATAGGCCTATAGAGTTTATTGGCACTCTCAAAACTCTAGAATTTTGAGTTTACTATACCCTTAAGAACATTTGTCATTACAAGTATAAGTAAAGACACTCAAGATGCATTTTTGTCATTCAATAATCTATTCTCTCGCTATTGCAAACAATTTCAAATGTCGCATTCAATTTCTGTGTAATACAATATCATTCACTAGGATCAGTTTATTCATAACTTTACCCACTTTTCAACATATTTCTGTAAAGCAGGATAAATATGCTTCCAATACGTAACATCATTTATCATTTTCCTTTAGACAAGTGCGTTAATTTTTCAAGGATTTATTATTATCGTTTTTTATTATTAAAAATAATTTTTTTACAAACAAAAAAAATAAAAAAACTCATTTATTTAAAAGAAGATTAATAATATCTTCGTTCTTTGTCTGGAGTGCGACATCTTTAGCTGTGTGTCCTTCGCTGTCAACAACACTCAAATCGAGATCTTCACGAGAAAGGAGAACTTTGACAACTTCGATTTTTTCGTTTTCAATAGCGTTGAAAATAGGAGTTCGCTTCATCAAGTTCTGACAGTTGACATCGACATTTTCGTGTTGAAGCAACTCTTCGACGAAACTAGTTGAGCCGCATTTAGCGGCAACATGGAGAGGTGTCCACTGGATTGAGTCGACGCAGTTCAAGTCAACGTCATCTCGATCGGCGAAAAGACGGATTAAGTCTGAGAAATCATTAGATGCAGCGATGTGAAGAGGTGTGAAACTAGAATCATCAGGAAGTTGTGGATTGACATCTTTGTCGTTCAGAAGACACTCAACGCACTGTTTGTGGTGGAGAAGAACTGCGTAATGAAGAGCACTGCGATTCTTCTTGTCGACGATGTTCTTCTCGATGCCTGGAAAACTCAAGAGAAGTTCTAAAGCTTCGAAATGTCCGTCACGAGCTGCCCGGATCAATGCTGTACGTGATGAGTTGTTAGTGGCATTGACATCAATGGATGGATCAGAAAGAAGAAGTCGCAGAACACGTGTGTGACCATTAATTGCTCTCAACATAACACTTTAATTGTCAACATCTTCTTACAGTTAAAGAATTCTGTAACAAATTCAATTTATTTGATTTATCAGATACTAATGTTTTAAAAAAGCATATTGTTTTGATCAATTTCATCTAATTCAATATTGCATTCTATTACTGCTACTAAACAATTCATTGTTTCGGCATATTCCATACAATTCGTATTTGTCAAAAAATTAAACATCAAATCCCAAATAGGATATAAATGATTTTTGTAGATACTAATTCTCGAAATTAATGTAGAGATGTTGGATATAAGACTAGTCATATATTAAGGGTGCACACGAGAGGATCATGTAAACTTCAGAATTTAGAACCTTATTTTTAGGCATTATCTTGGCTACCTATTTAGGCTCGAAAAGCAAAAAATATCAAAAAATACAACTTGACTCCATTATGACCCTTTCATGGAGGTAGTTTTTATCCGCTAGTATTTTCCCTTTGAATCTCTTTACAATTCGAAATCAAATTCAAAACTCAGTAGAAGAAAGGAAGAATCGACTTACTACGGTTGTAATACGAATAAATACATATATTTAATTATTTTTATTTACATAATAATTGTTTGAAGCTCATATTCCATCAAATTTTTAAATAAAAACATTAAAATGTTGAAAATGTTCATATATTTTAATAGGGTTTTGGCACTTTATTGAGGAATTACTACATACATAGTCGAACTGAACTTGATATTTTGAAATTTAAATTATTTATCAAAATTAAAATTTAACTTGAAATTTATAATTATTTAGTCATATTTTGCATAATTCTAAGTAGATTTTGTAAAAATCAAGAAAGAAAAATTTTAACGTGCTTTATTTTTTCTTTTTATAATAATACATATTATTATATAATTAACATATTCATAATGTTTCACCCTTTCAAAAATATAATCCTCCTCCTCTCAAATAAACGTACATACGGGTGGCCTCTTTTTTCAAAAAAATAAAATTTGAAATTTTGGGCTCAAATATTAGAGATTTTTTCAACCTTCAACGATATATGTTGTCTATATCAGACCTCCTTTCTTTTTGATACTTAACATTGTTCCTAAATCTTAGCCGTTAAGGCTGTTCTGAAAATATTTTTTTTTCGAAAAAATTCGAAAAAAATTCTTAAAATTCAAAAATCCCTTAATTCCTGAGGATTTTGGAAAAAAGTTTTTACATGAACATGTGTATATTATATGAAGTATATTGATAAGGTAAAAATCAAATTTTATTGCATATTCATCGAGAAAATAAACTAACGAATCCCTCAAAATTGAGAGGGTAATCCTCCTCTCAAATAAACGTACATACGGGGGCACCCTTAATTAATCTTCACATCAAAAAAACGATTATTTTTTTTTCTTTTTCACTTTTCATATCCCCAAGAAAAGATAAATCAACCAAATAATCAATTCTTATTATCAAACCATTGACATTTAAAATAAGTGTTTCATATGATCAAATATTGAGAAAAATCACAAATATTTATATCCACAAAAAATATTTATTTATATACATATGGACGACGAGGCACAAATAATTTCCAGAATGGACAGATATGATAAACTGTTAATATTGAGTGTGGAATCACTTATTTGAGTTATTGGTTTCGACATTTTTTGCCATTTCTTTTTAAGCTAGCTTCATTATCAATAAAATGTAAAAGTATTGTTAAAATAAAATCGTTGATCACGGTAAATTTATGCAATATTAGATGCTTCCGAATCATTATGTTACAATTTCAGATTCAATGAAAAATAAGATTACAAATCCCGTTTATGCAGGGTGTATGATACTATTTCATTTAAAGTATGCTATAAAATGAAATTTTAATAAAATGAGACTCGAAATATCAAAATTAGAAGAACAATTTTATGAAATTTATTTGAGATAAGTAAGGTCAACACATAATTTATTATAAAACATTTTAAAGATGTTATTGTATTTTGAAATTTTTTTTCTAATTTTTTTTTTTGATGTCTCAGCCCAAACAAATTAACATTGAAACTTATTACAAGATAGGAGCAGGACGACCTGCTCCTAATGGCGAATATAGTCAAACAATTACTTACAAGGGCAGAATCAAACAAACAATCAATTTTATTGCAGCAAAGACAATAGATATAAAGAGAATAGCAGAAGCGAATAATTTGTATTTATATCTAGTTAACAAAGATCATCCGCATATCATTAAATTTTACGAATGGATGCGTACTGGAAATCATTACTGGTTTATCATTGAATACTGTCCAGGAGGATCCTTGTATGATCTTCTAGAGCAAGATGTACGTCTTCCTGAGTCAATTATTAAGATATTTGCCACAGATATTCTAGATGCGTTATTTTATTTACATACACAAGGAATTTTTCTGCGAGATTTCCAACCGAGAAACATTATGATAAACGAGTGTGGTAGCCTTAAAATTTCTGATTTTACCAGAGCAGAATCTATAGATAAAAGGACTCCTCTTAATCTTTTATCGGATCCAGAAATGATAGAATATTTAGCTCCTGAACTTCTCATGGAAAATGCCATCGGATCGTTCGCTTCCGACTTTTATTCATTTGGAGTTCTTTTATACAGAATGGGAGCAGGCCAAGTACCTTTTAAAGCAGCGCAGGCACAAGACCCAGACTCCCCTTTATTTACAGAAGCTCCTCCTGTTCTTCCGGGTTATTCTTCTGAATATAACGATCTTGTTCAAGCTTTATTAAGAAAGGATCCAACGAAACGTCCTAAATGGAATGAAATTATTAAGCATCCATTTTGGGGTGACATGTTGTCTAAAATTCCGAAGTCAAATTCACCAACAGATTTCGATTGCTCAAAACTACCAAATCTTCCAACTTTCGACCCTACAGCACGATCATCATTACTCAAAACAACATCAACAATCGTTGTTCCTATAAAAGATCTCGAATCCGCAAGAATTTCAACACAATATGCTCCAAAATCATTGGAGTCGCTTATTTTAACTTCCGACTTATTCCAACCTCAACCACTATTCTTAAATCCTGCAATAGAAACTCTAAATCTACCAGAATATCGAATAGAAGATCTTAAAATTACAAACGACATTACATCAAAGAATAAGACAGAAATAATCACAGCATTTACATCATTACTTAAGAGCGTAAGAGAAGAACGCACAAGTCAAAAGAAATACAAATATATCTCATATCTTATCTCGAAAACTCAATTGGATTACGTATCAGATGCGATTGCAGAGACTGAATCATTCAGCTATATACTACAGATGGCAGTAGAACTCAAACCATCAACTGCCAGAGGATTATTAATTTTATATGGCGGAATTGCACGTAATGCACACAATATAGCACCAGTAAACCTTACAGAAAAGGCTCTTCTACCTCTAAAGATACTTATGGATAAAGAATTGAAAGTAGCTCGCAAAGCAATTTCCGCATTAGGCGAAATTGCCTTTTATATGGCCAGTACTAAATCAGCAGTTGTATTTCCTTCATTCTTTGAGTCGTGTATAACACATTGCCTCATTGGCACTAAGGATGATATCATGCAACACTATGGTTTTCACATAGTTTCTTGCATTGCTCCATTACAAAAATGTTCGTCACTTTTTGACATGAAAAAATTGGAAGAAAATTTGATGAAATTTAAAATTTTATCTCTAGATAAGCCTGCAATGATAGAGAGATATGCGATAGCCCTCTGCGAGATCTATCAAAACCACGATGTGAAACCATCAAATGAAGACCATTTGAAAGAGATAATTTCAATACTTTTCATGGTCCAAGGAAACTCGTCCGGTAGCTGCAAACAATTATCTCTCATGTTGGCCGTTGCTGCAAAAGTTCCGCAATTTTTGAAACCAGAATTAGGAAAATGCTTAGCAGATACCTTCGAAGACTTGAAACTAAAGTCATTACTATGCGTTTGCCATTGTTTCAGCGATGATTTGCAGAGCTTTTTGCAAATTTCTTACAAATTTTATTATGAATTGGAAAAATTCTCTAAAGAGAACTGGAGCGAAGTGGAAGTTGCCAGCCAATGGACCGCACAGATCGCTTGGAAGATCTTAAAAGGCAACGATCTGTCATTATATCAAATAATTATGCAAGCTTTGACAGTTAAGGTTTGCAGAGAGAAGATGTGGACTGCGCAGTTCCAAAAGACATCTTGCGACAGGTTACAACAGCTCGACTACAATCATCCTGAAGCCGTGAATGCACTTCAAGTTTTAGAAGTCGCGGCGCATGAAGGAGTATGTAGTTTCGAACTGGTAACATGTATCAGTAAGGCTTTTGAGAGTTCTGAGAAGGATACTCGATTCTTATCATTAAAGATTGTTGCTGACATGAATTACAGCAGTACACAGGTTAATAATGATCTTGTACAGTTTGTATTGGATAAAATACTTCCATTGGCCCCTGAAATGCTTCAAAACAAGCAAATCAGCGAAGAAAATTTAATTGCTGAGCAAGTTTTGAAGATTTTATCATTTACAGCCAACTCCGATCACAACTGTGTTCATTTGATGGCGACACAGGACATATTACCCCATGTTTTCGAGAGATTAAGCACAAGTACATCAGCATTACTCTTAACCTACAACATTGTACAGTTTTCAGGCGAAATCATTGACAATTTCGTCAAAGCCGGCCTCTTGGAAGCAATCTGCGACACAGTTCGTAACAAAGGAATTCCAGATTCGTTTGGAGTCCTTTTTGCACTGCTAAACCCCATTGCAAAGCAGTTATCCAATAACCCAGAGAACCAACAAGTGCAGAACGTCATACAAACTATCACGAAATTGGCTGATTTAACTGTTTGTTGCGCGGAAAGGCTATTTACTGGCCATACAAAGGCTGTTTCGTGTTGTTTAGTTGAGATATTCATATTTTCATCATTGAACTCTGCAAAGAAGTGCTTAATTGCTGATGCTTTCCCTGCTTTGGCTGCAAGATTAAGAGATTCAAAGTTCACTCAAGAATTGGCAATCCACATGAAAAGAGTTGTTGATATGCTGATATATGTAACAACTAAAGCAAGTAGAGCTAGTTACGTAATCGCTGCAATGAAGAATTGCAAAAGTTTCATGTTGGCTTTGGAAGAAAGCGTTGATTCGCCGATCAAAGAACTTAGTGAGTCTGTTGACTCGTTAATGAAAATCATTAGGGCTTCTTCTTAATCTAATTAAGATTTTGTTTACATTTATTAAAATTTTTATGTTTTTTTTGTATGATTTTGTAAATAATAACTTATCTTTAGTTTAATTTTTAATTACTTCTCTCATGATTATTCAAATTTACTTGGATTTGATTCAATTTTTTTTCAGAATTTTAAAAATTTTCTTTGTATACTGTTAGGATAAGCATAAATTACTGAATTAGTAAAGTAGTGATCATCAATTTCCAAAAACACATAAAGTTTGATGAGAAATAAAATATATTTATGGGAAATGCTCCAAGGCATCTAACATATGACGTACATCGTAGATCTATGAAATATGTATCGCAAATTCTTCTTAAAATTGAATATTATGAATGAAATAAAAATTTATGTATAAAGCTCCAGATTTGTTAAAACAATCTTACATTTCAACATGAATATGAAAAATAAAGACAGAAAAAACTGCAATATTAATCAGAATAAATATACAATTTTATTATTTTTACGGTTTTGAATATAATTTAGTTAATGACTCTTATATTTGCAATCACTTTCGAACAATAAATATATATCATTGCTTGAAAAGTGAATTTCGATATTTTTCGTAACATTTTCTCTCAAATTCTTCTTGATCAATAAAAACACGAGTATGTTTGCCAACTCCTATAAGACCTTCTTCATCGCGAGCTTCAATTTCGAGATGAACACCTCGAAGATCAAGATTTTTTATTTTAGCTGTTGCAGTAACAGTAGATCCAAGTTTAGAAGGCCGTAAGTAATCAATCGATGTATAGTGGCTAATGGCATTTTGATCTGATATGAAACACGTTGATGATAATGCATTTACTGACGCTTCTTCCATTAATCCGAGCAAGATTGAGCATGAGAGTATTTTTGTGGCTCCGCTTTTGAGAGCAGAATTTATATTTTTCTCAGTAACTTTGAGGATGGCACGCCCTATTGTGTCATCCATTATATAATTATGAACTCTGCTTTAGGAAAACGATATTAAATACATATGTAAAGGCCATACACTAGGGTTCTATCATAAAACACCATAAATTTTTTTATTTTTGAATCACATTATCACAATAAACCAACTTTATATTAAATTCTATGTCATGTGTTCAACAGACATACTAGTTCTAATTGATATAAAACTATTAATTACATGCTTGCACATTTTTGCATTTATTTTGAAAACTAGCATCTGCTCTGTGAGTACTCAGCACTGAATTGAAATACTTAATTCAAAAACATGGTCTCCTATTACTTCGCTAATATTTTTGCGGTTAATTTTGTTATGACGCGATTAATTTAGAAAAAAAGATCTAAATAATAAATAATATGATATTACCTCTGATGACATATATCAAATAGCTTTCATATGAGATAACTGTATCTGGTTAGAGCGATAGACGATAAAACTGTGGGAATCGAATTGAGAATCAACTTACGAAATCAAATTTTGCTTCAAATTGAGAGGGAAAAACCGACGAATTTGAAAGCAATTACATCCACATTATTAATCTAGCTATTTATTCAATTATTTCTATAGCAAAATAAATTATCTATTTTACATCCATTCAATTGACAAAATGAGTGGAATACCACAAGTAGGGAAACCTACGCTTAAGATTATATTAGTTGGTGATAGCGGTGTCGGCAAAACATGCCTACTATCTGCATATTTCAAACAGAAGTTCGAATATCAAACAAATCCAACCGTCGCACCAAGTTATAGCTGCATTGACATTAAACTAGAAAATGGATATACATTATGCCTTCAGATATGGGATACTGCAGGCCAAGAACGTTACCATTCGATTAGTAAGCTTTTCTTCAGAGATTCAGATGTAGCATTTATTTGTTTCCAAGCAGGCGATGAACAGTCAACAAAAGAAATCGTTAATTGGGTTACTAGAGTTCGGGAAGAAGTTCCAACCTGTACTCTATTCTTTGTAATGACAAAAGCAGATCTTCACACACCAGAACAAAATCAACAATTTAAACAAGAGGTGATTCCTCAAATACAGGGTTATGATTGCCAAGGACCGTTTTTAACGTCTTCATTAACAAAAGAAGGCGTTAACGAATTATTCCAAGCAGCAGCCAAAGTATATAAGGGTCCAAATAAATCGCCAAGTCAAGTAACTAATAGATCATTAGAAGATAAGAATAATAAACCTTGTTGTTAAATATTAATTTGTACAATTGCAAAAGAGTGTGGATTTAGAGGATACTTGATCTCATTTGCGATGAATCATTTGTTTTATTCATTATTTATATAATTATAATTTCTTTGTACTATTATTTCGTAAATTTAGCACGGTTTACATGTAATTTTTGTATTTTTGATAAATCCACATATAAAAACTTCATATTCCTTTCATCAATCACAACAATTATTTGATTCTTTTTTTTTCTTCAGGAAATCATACAATCACATTATCTGCATGTTATTGCTTTAAAATGTTACTGCATGGATACCTTCTTTGATTTTGATCTTCGGCATGTACTAATTGATGAAAATTCATGATTTCAGATGATATCAACAATATATTTTGATATCGTTTGGATGTAATATTGAATTTTATGTCATTTACAACCAAAACTTCATATTTGTTATATTATAAACAATTTTATAACAAATATTCTATTAATGTATTGAGCGAATATTAGCATTCAAAATTTGTTATGCTGATAATGTAAATAAATATAAAATGTTGGATTTTATTCTTAATAGATTTTATTTTTTTCTTTGGATGTGAATAAATGCTTTTGATTTATCATGATATGTAGCATTTTTTGGCGCCATGTCGAATTAAATATGTTTTTATATCTTTCGTACCAAAACTGGTTGCCATATCAAGAGGAGATTTGTTACTATAAAATTATGATTTATATAGCTATAAAGAGGATTCGATAAAACAATGGTTGATATGGAGAGAAAAAGAATAAAATAAAACAATTATTGATATTACAAGAATGAAAATTTCATAAAATGATAAAAGATATTAAATGAAAGAGTATGCAGTTCTTGTTAACATCTGCTCCATGTTCAACTAGGAGTTTGACAATTTCAATGTTACGTTCAAAAATTGCCAAAAAGAGAGGATAATCATTTAATGAAATAGAATTGGATAAAATACTGATTGATGTGGAAAGAAAGAAAATTTCACAAAACAATGATGTATATGAAAAGAATGAGCATATGAGTGAGTAATAATAGAATTCATCATTAAATAATGATACACATGAAATGAAAGAGAATTCCATAAAACAATGATATACATGTGAAGAAAGAGAATACAATAAAGCAATGATATAAATTAATGGAAAGGAAACTAAATAAAACAAATGATAGACATTAAAAAAAAGAGAAATAATCCTATGTTGGGATCTGCTCCATGCTCAACTAAGTACCTGACAATATCAATCTTATTTTCCTTAATGGCAAAACTTAGAGGGCATGCATGAGGAAAAAATAAATTTCAAAAAACAAAGATAGACATGAATATTAGGAGAACGAAATAAAACAATAATAGATATAGAAACAAAGTAAATGCGATAAAGTAATGAAAGACACTCAATGAAAGCGAATGTGGTAAAATAATGAAATACATGTAATTAAAGAAAATTACAGAAAACAATGATTGATATGAAAAGTGAGTTAATTTTATTAATCAATGTTAGATATGGATGGAAGGTGAATTGTATTTTGCAATGATGTATATATAAATAAAGGGAATATCACGAAATAATGATATATATGAAAAGAAAGAGAAAAATTTCCATGTTAACATCTGCGCCATGTTCAACTAAGAGTTTGATAGCTTCAATCGAATTTTCTTGAATAGCAATGATGAGAGGGGTAAGATAAAAATAAAATAAATTTCATTAAACAATGATTTGTTTGAAAACAAAGAATATATCATAAATCAATAATAGATAATTAAAGAAAGCGAACGCAATAAAATAAAGATATATATTGGAAGAAAGAGAATATCATAAAACAATGATAAATATGAAAAGAAATAAAATTCTAACATAAAACAATGAAAGATTTAAGTTGAAAATAAATTTGAAAAAGCAATGAAAAACATGCAAAGAAAGATAAAATCATAAAGAAATGATAGATATTGAACGAAACATAATGCAATATAAATATAGTTGATCTGATAAAATAAAGATTGATATGAGCCGAAATATAATAACTTTCAAGTTGACATCCGCTCCATGTTCAATTAAAAATTTGACAATATCAACATAATTTAGTTGAACTGCAATAATGAGAGGAGTTATATTTATATAAAATATAAAAAGAATTACATCAACAAGATGGCTGATATGAATTGTATAAAATTATGAAAAGAAGAAAGAGAAGATATATTTTGTTGATATCAGCACCATGTTCAACTAAGAGTCTGACAATAGCTATCGAATTTAGCCGAATTGCAGCAGTAATAGGTGTATCATCGATATTAAATATTTCATAAAACAACAATATATATGAAAAGATAGAAATTAAATTCATTGTTAACATCTGCCCCATTAGAAATTAAATAAGAAGCAAAGTCAAAATTCCCATAATACATGCAATCTGATATTCTGCAATCAGGAACCTGTCCTAAATTAGATCTAAGATATTTTGCAATTTCAAAATTATGATAATTCAATGCTGTATTAATCATTCCTTTAAATGATTTACCGTCATCGAGCATTTGTGAAAAAATGTTCATATTACAACTTTGAACAGCATGCTTTCCGGATGAGGAAATATATTTAGCTCCTAAATTCCTTAGGTAATTGAAACATAATTCTGACCCGTATTTAAATAACCAAAAGAATTTAGGATATTAAGATTTGGGAATTTAGCTTTAAGATCATCTACTTTGTCCCATGCAATATAGTATAATGGTGACTCTGTTGAATATATATTGAGAATTTCTTCTACTTCTATCGATTTTGACTTGGATTCATCAGATTGGTATCTTTTATAATATGTTAAAATCAATAAACTCTTCATTTCTGTATTAACCATCTATGGACATCTGTTTAATAGCTGTGCATATAGCTCTGCAAATAAGCTAATTTCTTTTCTACGAATAAGTGAAAATTTTCAATTAAACTGCGCACCATTTGGACGGAAATTTTTTTATTTTGGATGAGTTCGATGATTTCTGATGATATTTGTAAAATATTATTGGAATTGATACTCCATATAATTTTTGAAGCCTGATCAGGGTATTTAAATTCTTCAAAGATCTCATAATTGTTTAGATTCATGTTAAATTCATTTGCTTGTTGCTCCGAGCTGGACATTTTATTAAAAACAAATTGTGCCGAAAAGTGACAAATTTTCACATTCTGAAAATATGAAATTGAGTTAAAAACTGGCTTATAATGGTCCACGTATACTATATTTTTATAAACAAGAATATTTTTTCTGCCTTAATTTTATCGGCGCGATGCACCGATATAATTAATTGATAATTTTTCATCAAGTAGACAAACTAGCTAATAGTTCAAACTAAATCAGAAATAAGATTAATCGAACTCAATACAGTAGTGTCTATTCTTCGAATCACGATTTTATACAACTGTTTAGCAAATCCTTCCATTAAATCATCTGGCTTATTCACGACATGGTTTCAGTGCTGGATTTCCCTTATGTGTATCTTATTTATCCGCATATTTAGTTGTAGAAGTCAATTATTTCAAGCATTTTTTCAAATTAATTTCGAAATTAAATCAATTTTACACTCATTACCTGCATGCTGCTCTTTGTTGCTGAAAATTGTACTTGCAAGTAAAACAATGCAGTATCTAAATATTTCAACTTTTCAAAATCTATTTTCGCTATCAACTTCATTAGATGTGATATTAGGATACTTAATACTTCATAGGTTACTTAATAAATTTACGCGAATTGGCTGCTTTGGAGTTTTATTCGGAATTTTGATTTGTTATTATGCAGAAAAGCGAATTAGATGGCGAGGATATATTTACGCAGCTATTTCATGTCTTTTTGGATCATCATACAATACTCTTTTGCGAAGAGTTTTAAGAAATTTTGAAAATAACGAGTCTCTCCTTTATAATTACTTTTATTTAATGACTCCATTTATATTAACACCATTTGTATGGTACGCTGGTGAATTTGATACATTTCAGAGACCGTTTTCAACAAAATTTTGGGTTTTTCAATTCTTGAATGGGATTTTATTCTTCGTATCAAATATTCTGATGTTAGAAGAAAAAAGAGTTGGAGAAATTGAAACTCATGTTATTTCTTATTGTTTGCATTTTATTGCTTTAGATATCACATCATTTGTACTATTCTGGACCAAGGAAAACATGAGTGTATTGAAATTAATAGGAACAACCTTAATTTTGAACTTCTCTTTAATATATGAGTATGAATTTCGAAGATTTTATCGAACTCGATATCCAATTGTTCGAATTCAACAATCTTCCGAAACTACTCATTCAACAGATAGTGTTGTTAACTATAATCTATAAAATGCAGAATTTTCTTTCATTTTTTTTTTTACACATGTTTTCAAGTAAGTTTTTTATTACTTTCAAACTTCTGTCATTTAGTTTCTAAATAAGGACGAAAAATAGTCCCAAATATGATATGAGTACTTAATCGATTCAAGAATTTCATATATTTCTATCTATTTCCCACAAAAAATGTGAAAAATTCTTCAGATATTCAATTTCATACATATTATGAAGTGGCAAACATGAATAAATCGGCGCTAGTGATGACAGGAGCTATTACGTCTTTCTTTGTCTCTTTATTTATCTTCATGACGCAGGCGTAGTTCGTCTCACAGATGAAATAAATAAAAACTGCATCAGAACTATTTCACATTGAAACAGGTTCATTTGACAAAATTAAAAATTGAAGCGGAAAATATAAAAACAATCCCCATTTTATTTTTACTAGACCCTGAAATTAAATGAATCGTTGTGTTTTATATTCTCTTCCGAAAGCATTCTTTCATATATTTCCAGATGTTCAGACAGAAGGAACTTTTATATTATCGCGTAGTTATGATGAAATTTTTTGCGAATGGCAACCAAATGGAAAAATCAAAATTTGTGGAATAGAATACTCACCAGAACTATTTCACATCGGATGGAGACTTTGCGAACTAGTTGAAATAGTTAAAGAAATTTCAAGTATGGAGTCTGTAACTCTTCAATTTCTTTTCGAAGATTCTTCACAACTTCCACTTTTAACTTTTAAGTCCAAAATTGCCCTGGCTTCAATTAAACATCTATTTCAATTCTTAAAGTCGAAATTGATTGTTGAAAAACCGGAGACAAATCATTATTACATAAATTTACGTTATTACGAGCGAAAAATACCATCAAACAAATTTATTACTCACTCAGAAGCTGTTTATATATCAGAACACCTTAAAATCATGAAATCATTTGGAAAAGATCCAATTGTCCGCGGAAAACCTATTAGTTTTGCCGAGGCAAAGAAAGACCTTTCGAATTCACAAGCATTGAAAGCGAAAGTAATGACACACGGCCTTGATGAAGAATCAAGATGGTTTGTTTGGCTTTATTTGCTTGGAATATACGATCCTAATAAGTCTTATGATGAGAACATCGCTTCTATTACAAATAACAATTATATTTACGAATCAATTCGTAAATCTTGGAATAATATTCCGAAAATACAAATGAACGAAACAAGTTCGATTTCCAAGCTTGCTAATGATGTAATGAAAGACGTCAAGCGTACAGACCGAAATTTAGAACAATTTTCACGTGATGATCATCCAAATCTTTCCGTTTTGAATAATGTCTTAGTTTCTTATGCTATGTATTGCAAAGACACAGGATTTGTTCAAGGCATGGGAGATATCGTTTCTCTTTTCATTATTTTGTACATAAAATCCTGGGACAACGAAAAAACTTGTAACTTAGTTGATGGTCGAAAAGTTGACAAAGAAACGGCCGAAAACTTCATTTTCCAGATTCTTTGCAAGATGATGACAATCACACAGCAAGACAGGATGTTCACTGATCTCTTGAAACAACAAGAATTCGCTTTCGAGAGAGTTTTCGACATCATCAAAGATTTCCATCCAAATCTCGCTGAATGGCTCCAAAACAATCAATTGCAGAACTTAATTTTTCTTTACAGACACATTATATTGTTGTTTAAACGTGAGTTTAAACTAGAAAGTGTCTTAAGGCTTTGGGATGCAATATTTAGCCATGAAAAACCTTTCGTTTTCATTAGATATTTTTGTGCCGCAATTTTAATTAATTCATTCCCTCAATTAATTGTTTCAACGAGTGGAGCAATTGAGGAAGTCATGAATTTCATTGACGAATACATAAGGAACATGGATGTCGAACAAATTATTGGTTTGTCGATAGTTCTTTATGAAAGATATCATTTGGGATGTACTTGCGATCCTCTCCCTTCAAATTCCCAGTTTATCAATTATAAGTGTGAAAAATTGAAACTTATCTCTAAATAAAATATAACTTGTTTTATTATTTATAGAAAAATGTTATCCACTTTTATAGTTTATATTTAGGGTGAGCTTGCGAAGCCCAATTAAAAGCAGTGAAATGAGTTCATTTCTTGAAATAGATTTTGTAACTTTTGTATTGAAAATGCATTAGTGTCAAAACTTTGGAGAAATATCTAAATTTATACAGAGCTTTCATGATTGTATCTTGTAACTTGAAGAGCCTAATGAGTGATCGTATGTTGCAATAAATGCATATTCATGACGAAAAATCATAAGGAAAATCTAAACGAAACTTTCTTTTCTTTATCATTTGTTTCGAATTTCTGTGATACAAACTTGAAATAAACAGTCTTTTATACTACATCATATGTATCAGAATATGCGTAAACCAAAGTACTTTGAATATAGATTTTTATTAAGTGAAATCAAAACGATAAAGATATTGTAAAATAAAAGGAGATTTATCCACAAAATTTTGCATCTTACTCTTTTTTTATTTTGAGTTATTTTTGTGTTCAATACATCTCAAGTCATAGCTTTTAAAATTTGCAAAAATTATTAGATTTCGTTCTTTGGCTGCATGCTCAGAATAAAAAATCAATCTGACAGGAAAGTGTCAAGGAAATGAGTAGAAGATATATTCAAGCAGGCGCGCCAGTTCGGACGGATGTAGCGCCTCAGCAAAATGTCTATGCAGCTCAGCAACCTACAACCTACCAGCAACCGCCAGTTAACACGATTCCGAAAGTTGAACAAATTATACCATGGGTAAATCCACTAATAATGAATCCACCTCCGCCACCAAATCAGCCTGAAAGGCCACCATACTTCAGAACGACAGTAAATATGTTTCCAGGCAATAAACAAGTTTTAGATAATTTAGGAATTCCAGTTAGTGTCTTAGTTTCGCCAGCACAAGTAGCAAATGTCCCAGTAATAGACACTAGAGATGTTAAATTATCCCGTTGTCCAAGCTGTAACGCTTATTTATCACCATTTCATAAAATTTTAAGCGAAACACATGTCACATGTCCATTTTGTGGTCAGAATTTCCAGCTTACAGATACAACACGTCCAGGACCCGTCCAAACCCGTCCTGAATTCACAAATCCTGTTTTTGATATGTTAGCGCCAAAGATATTTAATTCATTACCAGACAGCGGCCCAAGCTTCTGCTTCATCTTCGACATGACTTACGAAGCAGTTCAGTCCGGTTTTACTTATCAAATGATTACTTCTGCTAAAACAGCCTTAGACAGCATGAATCAAGATTCCCATATATGTATAATCACTATGGGAGCTGTTCTTACTGCATACTGCTTTACAGATCATACAGAAGCCGTAATTTGCGATCTTACAGATATTTCTTACATCTCTGGCTGCACAGCCACTTTAATTGACGTAATTGACGAAATTAAATCCTACTTCAACTACTTACTTACTCAATCTGGCGCTCCAAATACAACAAATTGCTTATTCAGCGCCTGTGAAGCTGCTTTGGCCTTATTAAGTGGCTCCGGTGGTGTAATTGTCGCTAACTTCTACGGAATGCCTTCAAAAGGACCAAGAGCCATAACAGCAAGGCAAGCAACAGAATCCGGCACAGAAGTCGAGTTTTTGAGGCTTCCTAAAGGCGGAATAGGTGACTACACAGGCAAATTCTGCGCTGCTTTGAACAACGCCGGCTTTTCTGTCCATTTATTTGGAACTCCAAGGCCAAATCAGTCAATGGAGCTTGCAATTGTCGGCTGCATGAGTGGTCTGACAGGAGGAGCCTTACATCATTATCCAGTTTTGGACGAATTCGCGTTCCAAGATTTACATAACGATTTATTCAGAACTCTTACACAGGAATACTACTGGGATTCATCAATGAGACTCAGAGTATCCAACGGCATCAAAATCAACTCGTTATCAGGCAATATTTACACGAATCAGCATCAAACAATTATATTTCCGGTAATGGTTGGTTCCTACACCGTATCCTTCGATCTTTCGATTACAGGAGACCTTCCTCCAGGCGGTGCTCTTCTCCAACTCGCCATTCTCTTTACAAATTCCGTCAGACAACGTGTAATTCGAATTTTCAACTTCATGTTGCCATATTCTACCGATATCCGAGCAATCGGATCTACAGCCGACGAAGGCGCCATCGCCACAATCATTCTCAAGCAGACATCAACAAATTTGATGAGAATTGGTCCGGCGGAGACCTCAAACGAGATCAAGAAGATGATAACAGTAATGAACAACCGAGGACACAGATTCCAGTCAATTCTGACCATGGTTCATTCACTTTTGAATTCAGATGTACTGAGAATTCCAAGTCCATTTGGAGTTGACGGAAGAATGTCCAATATCATTGAGATAAGGAGTTCCAATGTTGTTGATGCTGTTTTGAAGATGTATCCAAGATTTTTCGCTTTGGAAAATCCATCAGCAATTCTTCCACTGACGAATCAATCATTTTATGCAGGAAACATCTTTGTTTTGCACACAAACAAGAAGATTTACATCTGGGTATCTCCAGGAACTCCTTCTGATGTGTTGCAGAGTGTTTTCGGTGTCAGTTCTATCTCTGAGTTGCCTTCTTCAGTTCCACAAACAGGAACAGAGATGAACGAAATGTTGAACAATTCTATAAATGAGTGCTACCAAATTTCTGGAAGATACTTGCCAACAGAGATTATCCCTGGAGGAGGACAATCTCCTCGCGAGGCAATTGTAGCTAATGCTTTGTATGATGACTCCACTTATTCTGGTGGAAACTTAGAAACTTTCTTAGCTCAATATCGTTAATTTTATTTTATTTTTTATTTATTTTATTTTATTTTATTTGATACTAAAATTTATTTGATTTATTATAAACTGTTTGATTCGGATCGTGAAAGTCAAAGATTGACCTGCTTTTTATAAACTGTTTGTCTTATGATGAAACACTATTCATAAAAATTGGGTTATTATAATCAGCATATTTGTTAAATGAAAGTCTAGGTTGAACTTACGCCCGTATGATATGGCATTCAATTAATCATTAATCATTAAGGTTAATTTTCAATGACAGAAATTTGAATAAATTTAAGATGGGCGTAATGCACCCTTAAAGCCATTTACTTTATTTTTAAGGATGCATTGACCACTTTCTGACATGCTCTTGCGAAATCAATATACTCTCAATTTTTTACTTTTGCAACTCAATATGGAGAATTTTTTTCAAATTATAGAACTATTTGAGATACAATAGAGACCAACACTGATATGGAAGCATAGGATATCAAAGAACCTTTATGATGGTAATACTATGATGAACAAATGCTAAAATCTGACTCGGTTATAATCAAAAATTTAATCTATCTATAATGATTTATAATAACTATTTCCCCGATCAAAAATATTAACTTTTTACCTTGGAAAATTGTAATAAAAAGCTTGGATGTAAAAAAATTAAGAGAATTTCAGAAGGTGGTATAAGTACATCCTTAAGAGTAATTTCGACTTTCTGACATTCTCTTACTTTTAATATAAGATCAGCAGTTAATTATTCGGCTGATATATTGGCGCTATGATAGCTTCTGACAAACAGAGACTCAGATAGTACTCAAAAGGTGTATTCTTATAATGTCAAGTATTATATTATGATGAATGAGGAACATTATAATTATAATATTAATGGTAGAAACTTGAGAGGATGTTTATAGTAAAATAATATAAGTTCCTCTTTCCCAAACTAAAATTCATTTCAAGAATAGAAACTTCTTACATCTATCCGCCAGACAACTGGTGTTTTACATCATATAAAAACCGTTAATTTGTTTAACCTTATATTTTTATGTTATTACATCTCCTTTCTGCTAGGTTAAATGCCTGATTATCAAAATGGTGCATATTCTTCAGATGACTATTCATTTCTCGAGTCTGTTTCCTCGAATGCCAAAACCACAACAATTCATAAAAATGCTAAAACTATTAAAGGAATCAGTGCCAATAACTATGCATTTTCCACGTGTAAAGACACGATCGAAACTGTTATATTCGAGACAGGATCATTGCTATACGAAATTTCCCCGTACACATTTTATCAATGCTCAAAACTCCAACAAATCGACCTTACTCCATGCTCTCATTTAACAAATATTGCTGATCATGCATTCTATCAATGCAAATCATTATCTTCTATAAAAATTCCAAATTCGATAACAAAATTAAGAGAATATTCATTTTATCAAACAAATTTATCAACTTTCACACTTCCTTCATCTGTAACAAGTATTTCAGATTATTGCTTCATGTATAGTTCAAAATTGGCGCAATTAGAGATTCCTACTGATAGCAATTTAGTTTCTATAGGGAAATGGGTTATAATTGGTACTCTAGTAACATCTTTTTATATTCCATCTAAAGTTAATTCAATATCATATGCATTTTCTGAAGGTGCGCAAATTCAATCAATTACATGTTCTCCTTCAAATCCATATTACAAAGTTGAAAACGCAATTTTGATTGATAAAAGAAGCATGATCACGCATACGTACCCACAAAGGAAAGGAGGTTCTGTCATAATTCCAGAGGGAATTACAGGAACAATGTCTGCCGTTTTTTCCTCATGTGGAATTACATCTGTCCAATTTCCATCTTCTATAACATATATAAATGAATATTCCTTTCAGCAAAATCCATTAACTGAAATTGAAATTCCAGATTCTGTAACCTCAATGTATAAAAAGGCTTTCTATGCATGTGACAAGTTGACAACAGTAAAATTGCCAAATAAAATAACAACACTTCCCGAAAGTTGTTTCGAAGGATGTGGATTGACATCAATAACAATTCCAGACAGCGTCAAAATTATCAATGATCGATGTTTTCTTAATTGTCCTAATCTTCGGGAAGTTATTTTACCCGATAGTATATCACAGCTTAACGGTAGAGTCTTCGATCCAACAACACAGATCCGATTCTCTAATAACTCTAAGTTCTACATCACAGCAGATTACGTCATTATGGACAAAGTTAACACCACAGTTGTTCAGTACATCGGAAGAAACTCAGACAACAGCATCAACATTCATTTTAATGTTAGTGAGATCAAGAAATCCGTATTCTCAGACAAAACACTCTTACGAAGTATCACATTTCCCGTTGATTCTAAACTTCAGACAATCAATGACAAAGCATTTATCAACTGTTATAATCTAGAATTCATTGGACTTCCTTCCAGCATTGTTTCAATAGGCAGTGAATCATTCAGCAATTGCTACAAACTTCGAAGCATCTCACTCAACTATTGCAATAAAATTGGTTCTAGTGCATTTCTCAACTGCATCAATCTGAGTATTGTTACATTCGAAGAGAGTTCCATCACGAATATTCCAGAAAATTGTTTCTACAATTGCATATCACTTACAACATTAAATTTACCAATCAACCTTGAAATCATCGGTGATAAATCGTTTATGCTTTGCACATCCTTGAGCAATGTTGTTTTCCATTCTAGTGTTAGTTCATTTGGTGAGAGCTGTTTCCGTCAATGTAACATCAAGACTGTTGATCTCAGTGTTTGCAGTTCATTTCAAACACTTAGTGATAACTGCTTTCGAGACAACAATCTTCTAGAAAGCATCAAATATCCACATGATTTGCATACACTTGGTGCATTCACCTTGAGCAACACATCAATTTCATCATTTGACATTCCTTCATCCCTCGAGACTATCAGCTCAGACACATTCACAAACTGCTTTTCACTTAAGTCTATCCATATTCCATCCGACTCAAGCCTTAGTCTTATTTCCGTTGGCTCATTCCGAAACTGCATCAACATTGAGAACATCACATGCGATAGCGACATATACCATGTTGTTACTGGTGCGCTTTTCAACGACAAGATGGCATCCCTCATTTTGTTCCCACCAGCATCCAAAGTGAAGTACTTCTCATTGCCTGGCAGCACAAGGACTATTGGTGAAGGTGCGTTCATGAGCTGTGTCAACTTAATCAGTGTTATGATTCCTAGTGGGAGTGTTTCAACTATCTCACAAAATGCATTCGAAGGTTGCATCAATCTTAAGATGATCAACATTCCATCTAGTGTTGTCGAAGTTGGTGCAGATGCATTCAAGGACTGTACACATCTTTCATGCGAATGTGAGATTGAGAACCGAACTAAAATTTTTCTTAATCAACTTATCACTCATAGCAAACTTCCTACACGATGTGTTTATGATCGTGAATCTCTATATTCATGTCGTGTTAAATCCAGTTTTCAAAACAATCTTCTAATTCATCCATTTATTGTTATGATATTATAATAAATCTAAAAAATCAAATGGCTTTACATATTTATATTCTTAGGTAATTAAATTGTAAACTAAAAAGAAGGTCAAAAAGATTGAATATTCCACTTTTCTATTAATTTCATACTGCTTTTCTGCAAAAATGGTCTCAATGACTAGTAGAAATAGACTACACAACACTAGCACTATTAAAATCATTACTAATAAATCATAGGATTATCGTTGTGTCACTTTTATTTTATATCGCAATAATATCAAAAAGATTTTTAAAATCATCATTCAAATCGGCAACCATATCATACAATAATCACATTGCCAATAAAATGAAGTTTAGTCAAAAGTACAGAAATTCTCCTACCTCGAAATCTTAATAAATAAATAATATCTTAAAATGATATTCTTATTATTTTTATTATTAAAAACAAGTGTATCTGCTTGCCTTGAACAAGCTTCTAGTGACACAGTCAGGATATATGATTGCGGTAATGGACAGATTAACTCAAACCAAATAGTTGATAACTATATTAATTATATTATTGAAGACTTTGAAGAAATTCCTGCTGAGGCCTTTAGGCTTGCTACAAAGATGCAAAAAGTTGAGTCCACAACTGTATATAAAATAGGAGACAGGGCATTTTATGGTTTAACAAGTTTATATAACATTTCTTTTAGTTAGAATATAAACTTGTAATGGATTAGAATATATAACAATTCCTTCTTCATTAAAAGAGATTGGAAGTAGTTGTTTCGAAAATTGTAACAATCTGCAAACTATCATCTTTGATTATAGTGAAACTCCTATTGTAATCCAACCCGATGCATTTAAGAATTGTAACTCCGTTGATCATTTTTCAACCGGCCGTAATTTAACTTTTATTGGTCCATTTTCATCTGACAAATTAACTGATATAACTTTTACGACTTCTTCACAATCACTTCTTTATTCATCCATTTCTGAATGTTCACATTTAACTGGAATTGAATTCACATCAGATGTCACATCAATTTCACCAAATGCATTTGCAGGATGGAACAAAATAACAAGAGTTAATATTCCAAGTTCAATATCAGTAATTTCTTCTAATGCTTTTTCTGGTTGTTCTTCTTTACAAACAATTACATTTGAAGCTTCGCAAACAACACTAATCTTGCAACAAAATATTTTCAATGATTGCCAAATGCTAAAGTATATCTATGTTACACGCTCCTTAGCAGCAAATGATGGCTCTCCAGGATGGAATCATCTTGAAAGTATTTACTATGCAAATGCAGTTATATCAACGGGTGTTAATGTTTTCAAAGATTGTATAGAACTTAAAAATGTTATTGGCTGTAATGATCTTAATGATGTAGGTAAATCTGCATTTTATGGCTGTACAAAATTGAAGTCATTCAAGTTCACATAAAACTTAAAGGTAATTAATAACAATGCATTTCAAAATACAGGGTTCGATATTGTTAATTTATCCGATTGTACGATGTTGAGTTCAATTGGGGATTCTGCTTTTTCAGATGTAAATAATTTGGTTGTTATTATTCTTCCAAAGGCGGACACAATTATCAACAATAGGGCTTTTTATGGAACATCAATTATCACAATAACCATTCAGAGGAATCAACAAGTAATGAATGAAGCATTCGCAAATTGTCGGCAGCTGACATGCGTGATTTTAAGAGATTCTTCATTTCTAGCAACAAATTCATTCAAGGATTGTAATAATATAGTCTCATTTTCTCTTTACAATCATGTAAGACTTGAAACAGGAGCCTTTTCTGAAGTTATTAAAGGAGAATTACAAATCTCCTATTTTCATGAATTAAATACATGTCAATTAGTTACTAAAGGTGCCTTAACTAATTTACAAGTTAAAGAAATATCAGGTCTTAAATCTTATGAATATTCTGATTATTGCGGAATTAAAGTGAGAAAGGTATATAATTCAGCTCCCGAAACATTGGAAGGGCATTGTGAGGTTGTCACAATTAAAAATTTTTCAATATTATATATGAACGAGAAATTTAATGGGCTAAAATCAAAAATTATTTTTGCTTTACAGTTTATTAATTAATATTAGAAGTGTTTCGAAGGTTTATTTACCATAAATTATATATATTGGAAATTTGATTCAGTATTTTTAGCTTATTGAAAATGTATTTATGCATGTCGTGTTAAATCCAGTCTTCAAAACAATCTTCTTATTCATCCATTTATTGTTATGATTTTATAATAAATCTAAAAAATCAAACTGCTTTACATATTTATATTCTTAGGTAATAATTTATATACTAAACAAAACAGTCAAAAAGATGAAATTTATATAAGGCATGCAGTTGAAATATTTGGGCATCTTGCACCATTAGACATTAAAATTTTTTGAATTTCAATATTATTTTTCTCAGTTGCATATATAATAGCATTATTATTTTTATTATCTCTGACATTGACATCTGCTCCATGAGAAATAAGAAGCTCTATTACTTCTTTTTCTGAAAAAATAGTAGAATTGATAAGTGGTGTTTTTCCATCATTATCAATTTCATTAATATTTGCACCATGTGTAATAAGACATTCCGAATTCGCTTTGTTTGCAGTTGCTGCATAATGAAGGGGAATTTTCCCATCATTATCTTTTTCATTAATATTTGCACCATGCAAAATTAAAAATTCTATCATATTCTTGTAATTATTTGTTGCTGCAAAATGAAGAAGAGTTTTACCATTAATATTTTTTGCATTAACATCTAAATGATGTGAAATAAGAAATTCAGCTAATTCTACACTACTTGTTGTGTGTAACGGCGAATTTCCATCATTATCTTTGATGTTAATATCTGCCCCATGAGAAAAAAGAAATTCGACAATATCTTTATGATTAAAATGTGATGCTATTAAAAGTGGTGTTTTTCCATTTTTATCTTTATCGTTGATATTTGCTCCATTTGAAAAAAGAAATTCTGTTATTTCTATATCTCTGTTTGGGACTGCATAATGAAGAGGAGTTTTTCCATTTAGATCTTTTTCTTCGATATTTGCTCCTTTTGAAGTAAAAAGCTCCATAATATTTTTATCTATATTATCTGCGGCATAATGAAGAGGTGTTTTACCATAAACATCTTTTTCATTGATATCGATATCATATGATAGAAGAAGTTTAACAACATTGATATCTCCACGTTCCGCGGCATAATGAAGGACAGTTTTATTTTCATTATCTTTTACTTTGAAATCTGCATTGTTTGAAATCAAATATTTCATTATTTCTTGATTAGCAGATGCTGCAAAATGAATAGCTGTTAATCCATTTTCATTTTTTGCATTAACATTTGCTCCATGTGAAACCAAAAGTTCTACAATTTCACTATTTCCCTGCTCAATGGCTAATACAAGATGGAATTTTCCTTCATTTCCCTTTTCATTCAAATTCGCACCGCTTTTGATTAGGAGTTCAGTTAAATCTAGATTTATTTTCTTTTGAGTTATTGCATTAATAAGAGCTGTATCATCGTCACCATTTTTCGCATTCACATCTGCACCATGATCAATAAGAAGTTTTGCCATATCTATATAATTTTCTTCGACTGCAATAAGTAGAGGAGTTCTACCTATATCGTCCTTTGCATTTATGTCTAAACCATGTTTAATAAGAAAATCTGCAGCCTCTTTACTATTGTATTTAGCAGCATAATGAAGAGGTGTTTCACAATTATCATTTGTTGATTCTAGTTCTGAACCATGTGAAATAAGAATTTCTATAATTTCAATAGAATTATTCGCAGCTGCGAAATGAAGAGCTGTATTTCCGTTTTGCATTTTTTGATTAACATCTGATTTAAGTGCAATAAGAATATTTACAATTTCTTTACTATTTTCCATTACTGCAATGATAAGAGGTGTTTTGTATTCATTATCCTCTATATTTATATCTGCATGATATTCAATAAGTAGATTTACTGCATCATTTGCATGATTTTCAATTGCACAATGTAATGGAGTAGATCCTGATATGTCGATTGCATCAATTTCAGCACCATTGGAAATAAGCAATTCCATTGTTTTAATATCATTATTATTTGCTGTATAATGAAGAGCTGTTTTTCCGTTATTTGCCATTTGTTTGACATCTGCTCCATGTAAAATAAGAAATCGTGAAGCTTCTTTAAAATTAAATTATGTTGCAAGAAGAAGAGGAGTATGTCCTGATTTATCTTTTGCTTCTAAATCAGCACCGTGAGAAATGAGGAGATCTAATATTTCAACATTATTAGAAAGTGATGCCCAATGAAGAGCTGTTATTTGGCGATCGTCTTTTTTATTGACATCAACTTCCTGAAGAATGAAGTATTCACAAACGCATAAATTCTTAAAATAAGGAACATAAACAAAACATGTATTGATTAACTGAGTTCGATCATAATAATAAAAGAATGCTTGAATATTATTATAATCTAAACAATCTGATAAATTCATTTCATCAATTTGATATTCATCCATTAAATAAGTAACAAAATCTATGTTGTGCGAGATAATTGCATACTTTAAACATTCTTCATCAGGATCTTGTTGTTCCAAACACATGCTTAATATATCCTTCTGCCCTCTTAAAAATGAAAAATCTAAGCACATCTTTGTAATTTCTGAGTCAAATTCTGTTCTTAAAAACTTAAAACAATTAACTGCGCCATGATAAGAACATAATTCAAGCAATGAATATCCATTTGTTGTTTGTGGATAAAAATATTATATAGTTTCATGTCTTTATTAAAATCGGATCTTTCGATAATTGATATAAATGTTTTTATGTCATCCTGCATGATTGCCCTGTAAATTGTGTTCTCTTCATGAACATCCAATGTAAAGTCATCAGATTCATATTGTTGGTATGCTATTTTATTATTATAATTATCCAGTGGTATCCCAAATTCTTTATAAACCATGTAATCGAAAACACTTTTGATTCTTACACTTGGTTTTATATTGTAATCTTCAAATATTTTTTTGTAAATGCTCCAATATGATTTAATGTAACAATTATTGAATAATGATGCATTTTCAATTATCACTAGCATCTCGTAAGGCAGAAATATCTTTGTTTCAATCAATTTATTTTTGATATCTTTGTAAATACTGGCAATTTCGTCGTCATCGAATGTGTCCAGTTTGTATAGCCTATTATAACAATCAATTTGATCCTTGAATAATTCTATAAGCTCAAGTCCATCTGTCATATCCATTGGAAAATAAAAAATTCTACTTCAAATAAGTTTAGATCATTAACAATATCGCTTTATCATATACACTTGATCTTGCAGAACATTAACAGTTAATTCCAAGTTAATTAAGTCTAATTGAAGAAGATTTATAAATTTCTTTTCTTGTTTGTATGGTAGTGGTCTATGCATAAGTCCCAGAGTAAATAAGCATATCCAAAATACCCCAAACCTTATTTACTATTACCTCAACAATGTTTAGCTTATGTATACTAATGAAGTACCTTTCTACAACCATTTTACATATGAAATCTATAAATTTGCTGTGAAAATTGCTAACCTTCATGCATTCTTTGATTAAATATATTTCTTCACGCCAGTAAATTTTTTTATTTCGATGTCAAGTCTTTGGGGAAAATTCTCGAATTTTATCACAAATCTAGAGAAAACCATTGATAATGACTTTGAAAGCAGAGAAGCATCTGTTATTACACCGACACCATCGGCATCTAAAGAAATTTTAGAAGGATATTCTTCTTCTTCGGAAGAAGAAGAAACAATTCATGAAGAGCAAACAAATCAAGATGAGCATGTCGACGATGATAATAAAAAGCAAGAATTAATCGCTAAAATCAAAGCTGTTGAAGAAGAATTGGAAAAACAACAAAATGAAGCTCAAAAACATCAAACCGTCATTGATCAAATTGGTGCTGCTGGGGCTTCATTACTTGAAGAATTCGATACCAGACAGCAAAAACTCCAAGCTCTTTTTGATAAACTTATGTTAAATGAAAAATCAATTCAAAGCGAAATTGACGACGTCTCTCAGGCAGACGAGTTACTATCTTCTGTTCAAGCACAGCATAGTAAAGCCAAAAGACTGGTAGACGAATACAAACTCGAATTAGATCAACGAAAAATGGCTTATGATGATTTACTCTACGATCAGAAGAAAGTTGATGAATCAATTGCCGATTTTGAAAACAATATTGCCGAATTACAAGAAGAAAAACAAGAATTAGAGCAAAAAACAAAATCATTCGTCGAAAGATCTACAGAAAAAGAAAATAAGATCGAAAAACTACAACAAACAGTAAATGAACTTTCCGCTAATGCTACATCTGTTGCAAATACAGCCGCTTCTTTCAAAGAAAAACAAAAAAATTTATTTTCCAAAAAAGAAAACTTAGAGAATCAAAGAACAGACATTCTAAACAAAATTAATGAAGCAGAGATGATGCAAGAAACCGAAAAACGTAAAAAAGTTGAAAATAAAATCCAAGCCATGAAAATTTTTACTCAAAATCAACTAAAAAGGTTTGATGATGAAATTTTGGAGCTAAACGTTCAAACGGAGACTCTCCATAACGAAATAAAAACCAAAGATATTCAATTTGAAAAAGATAAACAAAATTTAGAGTCCCAAATCACTCAGGCAGAGGTAGAACATGAACAATTGAAGATTACATTGGATGATAAAAAGGCTTCCAACCCTAGAACCCTGTTATCTTTGCAAACAAAACTGGAAACATTAAAATCCGTTTACGAATCAACGGAAAAGGTTCAAAGTGAGACCATAAATCGCCTCAAAAGTGATTTAGTTGAAGTTCAGGTCAAAAATGAGTCAATTAACGACCAAATTGAAGATTTAGAAAAAGAAATTGCAAAATTGAATGAAGAACGTAAATCTTCGAAGAACTTAATTGACGAACAGAAATCCCAGAAGGAAGAATATGAAAATAATTTGTCAAAATTAAATGATGAAATTATTTCGGTTAAAACAAGGGTTTCGTCAATCCAAGATGAATACAAGAAGTTACAAAATGAACTAGAACGCAAAAATGCTGAAAAATCTAAACTTGAAGAACAAAAAATTCTTCGTGAGAAAAAATTCAATGAACAGAAGCAAGCATTGAAAGAAAAACTTGAAAATTATAATGCTCAAATAAATGCAAAGACTGTGGAGTCTCCATTTGTTAAATGGCGCTCTCTTTGCGAAAAATGTGCAAATTACGATAAAGAAATTGAAAAACTTAAGATAGATATAAAGCAAAGTTCTGGTTTGGACAGAATATTTGCAGATACAATAGATACTCTTGCAACAAAGCAAGATGAATTAGAAATTTGCAGAAGAACAATTGCTCGTGAAAAAGAATGTTTCAAGCAGAAAGTAACCGAGCTAATGAATTAATATATATTGTTTTGTATTGTTATTAATAAAGTATGCGATATAATAATTTGAAATTTGTTTTATATTCATTAAAATAACAATCAAATTCCCTCTAATATATATGAACATCTCTGTAAATACATGAACTTGGTAAAAATTATTACAATTCAACTGATTCGATAATAATTAGTACAATTATACAGGAATCAAAGATGAAAAGAGTATAGACAAACTGAATTTGCTTCGAAAAGTATTTATTGCTTAGATTTGAATTATAAATAATGAGGTTAATAATCTTGATTTGAAATTTACAATGAAGTTCAATGTCATGTAGTTGCACTCAGATTTGATCCAAAAAAACAATAGTGAAATACTTTTAAACTATCCAGAATGCTTACAAAAAATGAACAAAAAAAAAGACTTCATATTTGTAATCAATTGATCAAATTTTTATTCATTCAATTTTAATTTTACTGACCCCATCTGTTAGTGCCGAGGTTAAGGATATCAACTCCAAAGAAGTCAGCATAGTCATAGAATGAATAGAATCTATCCAATTCTTCAAGCTTCTTCATCAGTGGTTCAGATAATGTGAAATCAAGTTCATAATTTAATTTGATGTTCTTTGGATTCATTGACATTGGGATGAGGACGTACTTCTTGGACTTTTGCTGTAAGAACTTAAGGCAGACCTGGGCACCTGTCTTCTTGACTTCATCTGCAACTTGTTTGACAACAGGGTCATTGATAAGGCTTGTTCCAAATGGACCTTTAAGAGGTGGATGGCCAATTGTTGTATGTGCCATCAAGTAGATGTTGTGGGACTCACAATAGCTGAGGAGTGGCTTGAACTGCCTGTAGATGTTGCATTCGACTTGGTTAGCGTATGGCTTGATTTCGCAGTTGAACCAAATTCTTTCGAGCTGCTCGATTGAGAAGTTGGAAACACCAATATGTCTTGTCAATCCCTTCTTCTGGCATTCTTCCATTGCATGATATGTTTCAAGGATATCAATTTGTTCAAACTGGATCTTTCCATTCTTACACCAATTTTCTCATGATGATATATTCGCGAGTCCAGATGATCTTGAAAATTTTGTAAGAGAGCAATTTGAGCAATTTTCTCATGATGATTTAAAGCGTGTCTTTCAAGCCTGGATCGATCGCTGCGAACGCGTGATTGAATCCAATGGTGATTATATTTAAATAAACTTTATATATATGTAACTTGTTTCTTTCTATTCGCAGTATTCAGGTTTGTGCTAAACACACCTTTGGACACCCTATATCTACGACAAACGTGAATATCACAACTTTATATGATAATTGAATTCTCTGTATATAGCATTAGTTATCTTTGGATTTTAAATGCGTTCAGATGAATATTTGAATATGAAATCGCATTTTATCTCATGAAGTTAGAAACCATTTGATGATCTCACATCATATTAGTCAAATAAGAGTTCAATTGTTGTTCTAAAATGGAACAAGTGCTTGTTTTATCAAAATGTTAATCTAAAAACCTTAATATCTAACGAAATCTTTCAAGAAATGTTATATATGTCTAAACAATCTAAATGCACGCGGAATTTAGATAATTGGATTCAATATATGAGATCCTCATAGGCTGTATAGAAAAAAAAGAGTATGATCTGTAAACTTCAGAAAGTTACCCTCCTAAATGGAGGTATAGAGTTCGTGTGGTTTTGGCAATAAAAACTCCTGCGGAATGGCCGCCTGTGCCTCCTTCAATAAGTGGCTGTTGCATATTATTTGTTACATTGCAACCTTGGGCGCCCCAAACTTTTAGAAAGTATTTTCCTTGAAGTAAGCGGATTTCATAAGGAAAACAATCTATCGGACTTGTGCATGGATATTCTAAAAATACTTCAGGTGGATTAGTGGATGTCTCGTAGACTTTTGAACTTATCGCATTAGATATTTTAATTGCGCCATCAAAGAAAGATAAAACTTGATATGTCATTGTCTTCTACGTTCTTTTTTGTATACAAAGAGTCTTTTATTCTTAAATTGATGTTTGTTTCTATGTATTTTATACTTCCCGATTGAATTATCAATAATATTGATAGACAACTCCGTTGAAATGCATTCAAAATTATGGCACTTTTTTCAACCATTTTATTAACATTCTCTAAAAAAACAAATAATCGTTTATTCTATTTTCTAATAATGATTATTTCAAAATATCTCAATAAAATTGAAAGACCTATTCAAAAAATAAAACATATTTTAGATTAGAGAAAATAGTAAAATCATATTAATAGTAATTTAACAAAGAACATATTTACTAAACAAAACAAAAAATTATTCTCTATCTTCTGACATAATATGTAGAAAATCTTCAAATTTAGTATAACAATCATCATCTTCGTATGTGTATTCCAATATTCTTGTTACTAAATCGCTATACTTGATTTCATTTGCAATTTCTGGTATTTTGATCGAACAAAAGTACAAAGATCTGACTGCATCTATGATTTTACTATTATACGATGTTGCTACAGTTGTTTCATCGAACACATCATCAAGAAAAGCTATGACATCTCCGACAATATTATTATCAAAAACAATTTGTGGAGAAATGACTAAAGCGGATGCGACAAATTGTGTGGAATATAATTTCCCTTTGAAATCAAAGGAATCATTGTTGTTGATGCAATAAATTAACCAAAAAGTGACATGAGGACTCAAAATTTCCCAAATTGGATGTTCTAAAGCTTCGATTAAGAAGAAAAGAGTCATGGGCACTTGGTTGTTTCTCTGTTGCTCTTGTAGTCCGTCAATTTGCTCTAGATTATGTAGGAATTCGTCTAAATTAAAGAAATTCAGTGATTCTGGATATAATTTGATAAGACGCGAACAAACAACTACAAGAAACGGATTATATTGGTAATGCTTAGTAAGAATCTCTGTATATTCCTGTAAATACTTAATCATAAAATTTTCATTATGTAACAGTAAATCCATGATTTGGGCAATGTACATTTCACTTCCTTCGAACTGAGAACCTAATACGTAGCCTGCAGAGTCCCATATTTCGTCTATAAAAGAAGATTCTTGATTTTGCTCGTGAATTTTCTGTAATAATCGATAAAATACTTGCGATCCAACAACAATCTGCTTTTTGTTGTTTGTATGCAGTGCGATCGTCAATGCATGAACAAAAGGTTGTAAATTGTCTATTTCTGGGTATAATTTTTCATTATACAGTATATTTCTGAGTATATTTAGTGCAGTTATGCTGTAAAATGGATTCTCATAAGATAAATTTTCTAAAATCAGATCAAACGGCGCATTATAAAATAAATTAACTGCTTGTTCTGGTAATTCAGAATAAATTTCAATGATTTGAAGTGCCTTCAGCATATGAACTTCAAGACGAACAATATATTCGAATAAAATTTGAATTATGTCATTGGTAAAATCTGAATCAATGAGAATTCCCTTCTTTTCATTCATCAAATCATATAGACAAAGTACGTTTTGATTAATTGAGTTCTCATTATTGACGTTCTCTATTATTTCTCTAAAAACGTTATTAATATTTTCGTTAAACAATGTAATTTCATCTTCATCATGGTTAGTTATCTCACATATAATGACTGGAGGCGTTGGAATGCTATCTATGAGCTCTTTATACTCTTCATCCATGTAAAAAAATGAGATTGGGACAAAGTTGCAATTCGGCACTTTTTGTAAAAAAAATGGGGTCATACTCATAATGAATAGAGACTTATAGCCAAGTCTTGATATCATACAGGGAGAATATACATTGATAAGCAATTATATTTTATAGTAGTAGTATTCAGAAATTCTTACAATTTACAATACAATTTTCAAAAATGGATAAAGACTTATAGCCAAGTCTTGATATCATGCAGGGAGAATATACATAGATAAGCAATTATATTTTATAGTAGTAGTATTCAGAAATTCTTACAATTTACAATACAATTTTCAAAAATGGATAAAGACTAATAGCCAAGTCTTGATATCATGCAGGGAGACTCTCTACAAATACAAAAATTGATTATCATAAGGAAATACAAATTTATCAATTTTCATGTGAAAATTACATAAATTTGTTCTCCAATAAATAGCAATAATACTTTGAATGTTATATTAAGTAATATAGCTTCAGGTAAATAAGCTTACACTTCAAAAATATACTGTTTATTCATTAATTTTAAAAAAAGTCCAAATTATCTAATCTTGCTTACTCTTCCTTTAAACTTCTTTGTGCCAAATTTAATATTGCCTTCAAAGATGGAATAAGGACATTAGGTTCAATCCTTCGGCTTTCGACAATTTCCAAAATGTGTTGAATTAATTTCAAACATTCATCGTGTTTTGAAGCTCTTTGCTCAACAATCTGATTACCTGCCCTTGTAAGAATTCTTACTGCTCTATCTTCATTCAAAACATTAGCGACTTGAACCTTAATAATCGCATTTGGAATCACAACAGTTAGTATACATATCTTGGGTACGGCGGCACTGCGTTCCACCTTACCCAAGATAACGGTTTGACACTTTACAAAACCGCTGACGTATATTTTACAACACAAACGACAACACTAACTTAACCTTAAATATTTACAAAGCCGCCAACCACTTCACCTCACTAACATTTTCGCTAACGACTTCACTAATGAAAAAATAAACGTTCTCACTAACGTTCCCACTAATGTTCTCATTTACAAAAGTATTGCAGCGCTTCCCATTGCTGTGCTTCACACAATAGTTCATATTCTTCAGTATCGCTGCTGTCACTCCAATCGTCAGAGTCAAAATCACTGTCAAAATAAATGTATGTAAGTTTTGACAAAGCTAATGAAACACGTTTACCGTTTGTATCTATTGCTTTTATATATCTCCCATTATGTTTATTGTCATAAACGCTCAAACTAACTTTACCCTTTCTCCCTCGTATCTGATAGAATGTATTTTCACGAGGAACGAAGAACAAATTCTTGAACTCATGACCGTTGTAGTTTGTTATCTCAATAGTTTTCGTCATTTATATAAAAATAAACTTAAAAATAAACTTAAAAATAAATGATATCACCACCCTCACACGTATGAAAACATAGCACAAAAATAAATTTAGGTGAAGTGGTGAAATCTCACCTCTTTTTTCACCCGGTTTTTCACCCTGTTGAATTCATTGCTTTATAACTCTCTTCCTTGGTTTCTTTTTAGTTGCTTTCTTCACGTCTGTCTCCAACTTGACTGTCTTTCTTCTTCGGCCGTAATGATACCAGTTACTTCCACCAGTCAATGGGTCAAATGGTCTTTCGTAAGGGTTTCCATACATTCCATAGGGACCATACGGAAGAACTACTGGTGGAGAAGAAACATTTTCTTTAGTTACATCGACTCTATTTAAATGCATTGTTTCACCTTTCATCTGGTCATTAAAGTCTTTTGCGTGTTTTGCAAACTCATCGTCCTTTCCTAAAGCATTTTCTGACTCAGTCGCAACCAAATTGGATGCTTTATTTATGAGCCCTATTTTATTTAATCTTAACTTCTTTACAACCCAGCCTCCAATCTTTCCTTTATTTGCATCTAATGTCTTTGAAACCCTTCCTCCACTCATTTTATTTACTGCGTCACAAGCTCCAAGTGCTTTTGCTCCAAATGCTAATGCTTTTGTTCCCATTGCGCCTAAAGCTGCCCAAGCTACCATTTACCCCATATTAAAATCATCTCTCTTCAATATTATCTCATAAAAGTTCTCGTTACTGGAGAAAGTCAATGAAACATAAGCGTTCTCATTCATAACTTCTTTCTTATCTCATCTATACGCTTCAAAATGTCTGAACAATTGCTAACATCTTCTACAACAGTTATTTCATCATGAATGACCTTCAAGAACAAGCTCATTTAATATGCTATTAAAATCATCTCAATAATGAGTCCATCCTTTCCATCTTTAGGTAGCACAACATCTTTCATTGAAGAAGGTTCGACAAGTCTTATGTTAAACTTACTGACAAAGTTTGTTATACTATAATGCTTCGGCGGCGAATACATGTAGTTTGAAAGACATAATATAGATTCTTCAGCAAATTCACTTATACTGGATTTTATAACAATGTTCTCACGAGACCAAATACCACCAATTGACAATCTTGTAAGCAATCCTGCTGAACCTTCTACTGTAAACGTCGATGGTAACATTCCACGAAGGTCATCTATTGACATCTTTGAGTCACTGAATTTAAATATTTTCTTAAAGCAATCGTCATTATCTAACCATGCAATAGCTTTGAAGTTTTCATTCGAATATACATCTGCTTCATTAAATGTAAATCCTGACTTCTTTGCAGAGATGACTTTAAAATCTATTGAGTTTGTTTCAAAATTATATGCTATGGTAACTTCTGAAGGTAATGGATGCCTTCCGCAGTCAGTTGTTCTCTCACTACCGTTTGAAGCTTTGTGTTAAAAACTTTCATGTCATCTCCTGTGTCTAGGTTCACATACACAGCAACAGGGAAACTATCTTGCTTCTTTGTTTCATCATTATATCTCAAAACATTAAAGTTCTTCAATAATATTGTTCTTCCTGCTGGAATACTTCGAACCTGTCTGATTTCAATAGCTTTCTCACCTCCTACATACTCTACCCAGTGTCTTGGATATTCATAAGTATACTGACTTTCTTGAATTTTGGTTGGTTTCATCATAACATGTTCATAGTATATCTTTATACTCTTGTCAGTTAGACTCGGTGCTATGTTCTGAATATTTCTGACTTGCATTTTTAATGGAGATAAAATGAAGCATTTAATACATGATGTAGATGAAGACATGAATGAAACTACAGACAAACTTAACTCTTCTCTTATTCTTCCTTTCAGCAAAGATTATGAATTCTTTCAAATGGTGTGTATTTCTATTGTGGAAGAGATGGGTTCAGGTAAGACATTTAACCTCATTCGTCATATACTCATAACAGAGCGTTTAGGAAACGACTCTACTATGACCAAATCATTATATCAGCAACTTCAGACTCTATGGACTCAACAGCGAAAACATTTATGTCAAAAGTTCAAGCCTCTGTCGTTAAAGTTCCAGACAGTGAACTCATTGAATTTCTTCAACGTTACATTCGACGTAAGAGAAATATTATGCCATCGTTGAATTTATACAGTCAGGAATGCAAAAGACTTCTGAGGAGATGGAAAGAATTATTGACAAACACCACTTACGTCAATACTCAGGAGTTTACGATATGAAACGACTTACAAACTACATTCTGTCAAAACTTTCAAAATACCCCTTCAAAAAATATCCTTCAAACACTCTGCTCGTTTGTGACGACTTCGCCGGAAAAGGTTTAGTGTCAAAACCAGACTCACCATTAGCTAACATCATACTAAAGTCAGACATTACCACTTAACTGTAGCAATACTTATGCAAACATGGAGGTTTTTAGCTTTAAACATAAAACGTCTCATAACTGACTTCGTTATCTTTCAAGGTTTCTCACGTATGATATTGAACTCATTTGGAAACAGTCAGGTATAACATTACCTTTTGAAGAAATTTGGGAAGCATATAAGTCTCTCATCTCTCCTCGTTCATACCTTGAGATTCATATCATGACTAATACCATTAAAGTCAAAAATATTCCATGGGAACGACCAACATTGTTTTAAAGTTTAACCTTCAATTGACTGATGGTAAACAAATTCCATGCATCTCTGTCGCCATTTCTGTTAATATTTTTGCTGTCATTCATATCATCCACTTCCCCATCCGTTAGCTTTTGAGGATATGCGTTAGAATAGCTGTTCTTAAATGAAGGCTTTTCACCTTTGAGAGCATAAACTCTATAACTTTCTGCATACTTTATGTTTGAACCTCCTGAGCCATCATTGACATAAATTTTTATAGGCTTCCACCCTTTGTTCATTTCCTGCTTCTTCCCTTAGCTCTTTTGTTCAGTAGTTCTACATCTTTATACACAGCACCTGTCTCAGTGAATTCAACAATATTTTCATTCGTTAGTAGCTTTACATTCAAACCCTTGTCGAGTATATTGTTCATTTCATACATATAAAAGGTTTTTATTCTATATGAAATGAGAAGCAAATCCATCTTAGCTGGTGCCGTTAATGTTCCAATTGAACCAACATCAAATGTTGACTCACGAACGACAAACAATATTGTCATAAAGAACTATAGTTCGGAGTGTTTGAAAGAAAAAGAACCAGATCTTAAGTCGGTGAATTTAAACACAGCTTCAAACGCTAACGCTACATCAGATGTTAAGTTAGAGTATCCACCACTGGACCAAGTTCTTTCAAGAGAAGCCAACGACAACCCTTACACAAATGTTCAAACAAATCCTTCAGATAACGTAGACCATTACCTTCTTCAGTTATACCAAACAATTTTACTCAAAGACGATAAGAAGCTTTTGACAAATCTTATAAGTAAGAACCAAATAATTCTAACAAAGGAGGACCTTGAAAATGTTATCTCACGAATAACAGGGAAACAATGTGTCATTGACTATCTCGACCCTGAAATCGAATGCTGTGGTCAAACTCCACTATTCATGAAAATAGGTAACATCCGCATCATTGAAATACCAGGAACTACAGGAGTTGAGTTTAAGTATAAATATTCGAAAGTATACAAAACTATCTACTGACTATAAATTTGTTTGAAATATGTTTTAGTAAATTAAAGCAGTCAGGAGGCTCTTTGAGCCCATCTTGGCGCTTTGCGCCGTCAGTCAAAAAAATTTCAAGTTAGCAATTTGTAATATCTATCCAAAACTTCTTCAACAGTATGAATTCATCTTCATAATGTAACCTAATCTTATTGACTTGGTGCAGTTTTCACTAACACAATATTTTTCTGTTCTCTTGACTGACATAACTAACTCATTTGTTTCATCAAACAGCAACAACCAAAGTTCATGACCTAATACATAACGTTCATACTTTATATTTTTAGCTCTGAGTTCTCTTGTAAGCTGTTGCATTTAATATTTTCTAAAAAGTCAACTTCAACAGTCATTCGCACTGGTGCCTTCAGTTCTACAGGCTCTCTTTGAAAGTCAACAAGTCTGAATTGCATGTCTTTCAAATTATGAGGACTAATGCGAACCCATTTACCTAAATGAGTTGCTATGACAGGAACGTTTGGAATGAACATTGAATTGACTGCATAACAGAAAGACTTATATTCTACTGAACCTTTACTATTAACTCCTGAAATACCTGTGACATTAGCTATTTTAGACTCAATGTATAAACAATTACCATAACATACGTATGGAACAGATTTCATCTCAATCGTTTTGTCAACACTTTTCAAAGGAAATGTCATATGGTATGCACCCAAAAGAAGTTGTACTCTATGACTCATTCTTGGTATCTTAAACTCTTTCTCGCTGCTGAACTTCAATGTTCCCTCAGAAGAGAGTTCGACATCTATGTTGTCAATAGTTTCTTCATTTATGAGAGTATCTATGGCTCCAGCAATTTTATCTATTCTATACCCAGCTCTGTTAGGAAATGTTATAACACTTCTTTTGTCATCTATTTCAATCTCTATGAAATCTGTTTCATCTGTTATGACAAAAGTTGCGATAGTATTGAAGTCAACAACTCTGAAAGCAAGCGCTTCATTCTGAAGACCTAAGTTTGTTTGTAGTTTTACTATTCCGTATTCGTTTGGGTCTGTACTTTGCAAATAGAACAACATTTTATTCTCATTAAAATATGACTATTGCTGCATATGCGTATGAAACAAATGAAGCAAGAAGAGCACATGAACTAGTAAACGAAAACTCAACTTTAACCATTGAAGGCAATGATTTAGTCATTGACGATGGAAAAACTAAAAAAGTCATTGATTTCGATACTTTTAACACTTATGACCCATTCATTACAACAAGCAAGGTTCCCATCATAAATGATGGAACGGTGCAATATATAAATTCTACAGTAGATGCCTCATTAGTGAAAGTATTAAATGTTCTCATTGAATTGTTAAAGAGCTTTCGATTTGACGACAACATTAAATGCCTAAAGAATTTAGTCATGAATGAGAAACAAATTCTCGGCGTTGCTGGTAGCAGTAATGATGTACACCTTATGACATTAGAATATTATAACGAACATAAAGATGAACTGAAAGGAGAGAAGGGTGACACCGGACCTCAAGGACCACAAGGAATACAAGGAATACAAGGAATACAAGGAATACAAGGACCTCAAGGCGAAAACGGTTTGAATGGTGAAGATGGAAAGGATGGAAAAACTGCTAAAGCATGGATATGGAACCTTATAAATACTGGTTTAACAGCTGCTTCATATGGAGTTCTTCAATACCAAATCGGAAAGATATGGGCAGTACTTGGTGAAGAAGTTTTAGATGACGTTAAAAATGCTTTGAACTTCATTTCAAATGGTTCGGATACTATTAAAACTTTATCTGGTTGGATGCAAGAAACAAGGAGTCAAATAGATACTGTAAGACGTATAGCAAACAATGCACTTACGGGATTGGATACTTTACGAGAAGCACAAAATACACTAAAGGAAGCAAATGATATTCTTGGCTCGGTATCAGACATGCATGAAGATTGGCTTAAAGGTATTGACAAATCTTTAAAAAATCACAGTCAGTCTATTGCTGACTACAAGAAAAGTATAGATTTTTTACATAGTGCTATGGACGTACATGATGGAAGCATAAGGAACTTACTTAATGCTAACAATAACTTACCAGGAACTATTAAAGCATTTATAAAGTCCTTTGTAAAACCTGGTGCTCTAACATTTAGGTCTTTGAGAGCAAGAGCATTGAAGTCAAGAGATGCAGAAACTCCAACAGAACCTACAGAAGGAACTGAAACAACAGAAACTCCAGAAGAACCACCAAAACCAACAGCTAATGAAATATTGTTCGAATATTTTCCAAGGTACTCTGTTCTCATTGCATACATTCAAGAAATACTTAAGAAAGCAGACTTGACTTTAGGAGATGATGAAAGTTCTGTATATCTTTCGTTCCAGTTTCAAATAGCAGAACTTTTGAGACAGATATGCTTAATGTATGACAACATCTCTGATTTCACAAGATATGATGACGACCATGATCCCGAACACGGTGAAGAAGAAGTTTTACAAACATCCATTAAGACAGGAAAGGTTTTAACTCAAAGTCTTATTATTGACACCAAAGATGGCGAAGTGGACGTTCTTCAAGAGCTGAAGAAAAATACTTCTTCTGGAGGTGGTGGTAGGCATGAACTTGAAATAAATGAGATAGAAGAGAAATTAGCCGAAAAAGCAGATAAAAACCATGTTCATTATATAAGTTCAGACGAACAGATTATAACGGACTACCATGGATATTTAACACAGGATGAAAAAGTGAAGACGGAAGATGTTAATGAAAGAAGATATAAATTCATTCGTGCTAAAGGTTATGACATACACTGTACTGTACAGTATGACACAGGTAAAGCACCAGAAGCATTTGGTTATCACAATGAAATTTATGCTTCATACTTCTTTGTTAACGGTGTATTAGTTGAACCAAGATTTACATTGAGAGTTAAGACAAAAATAACCGTTGAAGATGCTATTAAAAGTAAAGCTGACAAAGATGAACTTGACGCAACGAACAAAGTTTTGAAATCTCATAAACACAATATCTCCGATATAAATGAACTTCAAGCTACATTAAATAATAAAGCTGACAAGAACCATACACATAAATCCTTCACTACTGTTAGAGCAGACGACATAATATTGAACTATACCCTTGGTTCAAGTGCACCATTAGAAAATCCAAGTACAAGCGTAAAAGATACACTAAACTCCTTAAATAACAAAAGTATGAACATTGAAGATCATGCCAGAAACTTTGAAGCATATGAACTACCAGCAATGTTAGATAAGAAAGCCGACAAGAACCATACACATAAATCCTTCACTACTGTTGCTATAAAAAGTATTGAAGGAACGGTTGGCGGAACTGGTGGGGATGCGTTATATTATGAACCTCCTAACTTTCCACAAGGTTTAACATCGAATGAAAACATAACAACGAAGAAAAAAATTAAATGTAAAAATGTTTATGTCATGAATGATGAAAATAATGTTAAATTCACTGCTCAAGATTTATATGATAAGAAAGCAGACAAAACAGAGCTTCAAACATTAAAGACAGAAATACTTCAAACCATATATCCTGTTGGTTCTATTTATACGTCAATGAATTTAACAAATCCAGCAAGTGTTTTAGGTTTTGGTACGTGGAAGCAGATTGTAGACAAATTCTTATACTGTGCTAGATATTCAAAGCAAACAGGAGGTTCGAAGAAAATTACTGAAGCAAACTTACCTGCGCACACTCATACAGGAACTACAAACACAACAGGTAATCATTCACATTCAATAACAAAAAGAGGTTATACAAATCTTGCAGCAGGTTCGGATAGACAGGGAATGAATAGATCTGATATTTCAAGTGACCCAGTAGATTCAAGCACAGGTATTTTCTGTGGAACCGCAGGAAATCATTCACACACTTTCACAACAAATCCAACAGGCTCGGGTGCAGATTACATGCCACCATTTGTGACTATATTCGCATGGTTCAGAGCTGCTTAAAATCTTTAACTTTACATAAATGAGCTTGAAAGAAGTATTCGAACAACATCCATGGAGGTCATTTAAGAAGTTCAATGAAGCTGCAAAGAGTTGGGGATTTACTAACAGAGCTGAAGTGAAAAGGTTCTTTGACAAAAATGTTGTACATCAAACAAAAATAAACCCTTACGACTACTTTTTACCAATTTACTCCAACACTCCTGACGCATACCAATTTGACACTCTCATTCAAAGCAGAAAAGGAGGACATAAACCATTCCTCATCTTCATTAATGTTAACACTCGCAAAGCATATGCATATCCAATGAAAAATAAAGGAACTCGTGAAGTGTTAAGAGTTTTACAAAAGTTTGTAGCAGAACATAACCCAAGTACTTTAACATCAGACCAGGATTCAGCATACCTCAGCAATGAAATCACAGATTTTCTCATTAAGCATAACATAACTCACTACACTACTGAAGACCATAACCATAACATACTCGGTATCATTAACCGCTTCATAAGAACGCTCAGAGATTTAAACCAAGAGCGAGACTTTACCGAAGAAACAATGAAACACTTTCTCGAAGTATATAATTCCTCAACACATTCTACAACAGGACATACACCAAATTCAATGACACAACAACAAGAAGAAAAGTATATACAAAAGAAACGAAGCCAAACACAAAATATCAGAAATTCAAGACAATTTACACTCATTCCTGGTACAAAAGTTCGTGTAGTTCTTGACGACAAACCGTTGACAAAGAAACGTTTAAGGTTAAGTCGAAATTATTATATAGTAGACTCTACGCAAGGTAATGGATATCTTATAAAAGCTGCCGACGACTCTATTGCGTTTTATCCTCGTCATAAATTAGTCGAAAGTAGTAATGGCAAACTTGCTGAAACCATTGACAAAGCAAAGCGAGGAGTGGTTATTGAAATACTTGGCTATAACACAAACGATGACACTTATAAAGTAAGATATGAAGGAGGCGTTGAAGATGTTATATCATCTAAGAACTTGAGAGAGTCGAAGCCAACACATCTGGGACCATTAGAGCGGGAGTTCTGGAAAGACAAAAATATGCCAGAAAGAATAAGAAAATTCTTCTAAACTTTTTCATTAGATGTAAATCAGACATGAACGAGAACAGTCATGATATCATTAAAGGTACCATTTATTTTAACATAAAGACGCAAAGCGGCGGGGCATAGCCCATGAACAAAAATAATGAATTTTCATGTATTTCTTAATGATAGAAAAATAACGTTAGTTTTATTTTTTTCTAACTTTTTATCTTGTAGGTAAGAACAGAAATGTCAGTCGAAGCAAAAACATTCACTAACAAATCTAATGGCGAAACATTCACAAAAGGCACTTATAACGGTATTGAAGTCTTACGTAGAGACAAGGATGGTTACATTAATGCAACAAAGATGGCAAGAGAAGCAGGAAAGTTAAACCATTTAAACAGCTTTCTCAATAGTGCTAAAATGCAGGAAATTCTTGAGTTTTGGTTGAAAGAATACGGTCGAGCCAAAAGTGGCTCGACCTCAAAACAAGCATTTTATGAGCTTACTAAGGGTGTTATAAATGAATTCAAAGGTATTTACATACATCCTGACTTCGTTCATTTTGTTGCTGAATGGTGCTCTGTAAAGTATGCATTTTATGTCAAAGATATTATGGACTCCATAGACAAGAAAGTTCATGAGAAGTTAGATGAAGAAGAACTCGAAGATACAGTAGAGAATGCTAAACCTTTGTTCGAACAAGAAGTTAGAAAAATGCATGAAAAACAATTAGAACATGAACGTGAGATATGTTATGATTATAGAGATTCTCCATACGAACTAGACCAATGGGAACAAGAAGATTTAAAGAGAGAATTTAGAGAATATGAACTCGCTAAGATAGCATTAGAAGCTGCAGAAAAGAAGTTAAAAGTTTGGGGTCGTTTTGTACAAAAATATTGTGAGTAAATGAACTCATTATTTTTGCATCATGACACGAAGTGAAGATTCGCACTTCGTCAAAAAAAGTGAAGGTTCCTGACGGTTTCAAACCGCCATACTTTACATGAAGATAGTTTACAATGTCAACTAAATATCATGTACGATAGAAACGGTTATGTAAAGTTTACATTTTGTAAAGTTTTGTCTTGAATCAGGACAAGTCTTGTATTTTTTCAGAACAAGTCTTGTATTTTTTCAAGACAAATCTTGTCCTGATTCAGAACAAGACTTGCACTTTTTAGTCAGTTTTTCTTGTAAAGTTCTCAAATTTGAGAACAATTGTCCTGATTCAAGACAAGTCTTGTATTTTTTCAGAACAAGTCTTGTATTTTTTCAAGACAAATCTTGTCCTGATTCAAGACAAGTCTTGCACTTTTTCAGGAAATCCTATCGTCCAACTTTACAAATGTCACTTTTCAACATGATTGCATTTTGGTCGGGGAACAACTTTCTCTCATTTTGTCACTTTTCTATCGTCGTGTTTTGTCACTTTTCCTTCAGGGTGTGTGTCAGAAAATATCCAAAATCTTTATAGCCTCGTATCTCCTTCAATTCTTGACGGTTTGACATGTATGACACACCATTCAATTCAGAATTATGTGCTGAATCTTATGACCTTCATTTGTTCGTGACTTCTTTTCACATATGTAACCATGAATTTTTAACATTTCTTTAACACAGAAAAATAAAGTTAGTTTTATTTTTATTTATTTTTTTTATTTTGTATGTAAGAACAGAAATGTCAACATTAGAGAACACAACAACTGCTATCGTTCATGAAGCCATAAATGAAGAATACGAATACATACAATATAACAAACAACTTCGCCTCATTCGTTCGGTCAAAGATGACATGTACCAAATGCAAAGTATAATGAATGCTCTTCGTTCTACAAAGCAAGCATATCATTGGTTTGAAAACCAACAGACAAAAGAACTTTTAGAAGAATTTCCTCATATGATTGCTTCCCTCGGAAAACCGAGAGAAGAGATTCCGTACGAAAATCGCAAGAATTTGGCTCCTGGTTTGAAAGGTTATTATATTCATAGACTTTTAGTAAATGCTGTAGCAATGTGGGCTTCACCTCGTTATGCTTGTTATATTTTCATGATGTTAGATGAACTATATAAAGCAGAACGTGGAGAGATGGAAAAGAAACTTCAAGCAAAAGATGAAGTCATTGAATCCAAAGACAAAAGCATACAGAAAAGAATACCGCGTTCGGTACCAAAAGGAAAGGAAAAGAGTTATAAGTATATGATATATACTGAAGAGTTGGAGAAAGAAGAAGATAAAGATATGGTTATGTTGCATTTAGTGAGAAGAAACAACAAGAGCTTTTATGACTTAGCTAAGATATATAAATCTGATAGAAACTGGTTCTATCGTGAAAACTTACCGATTTCAATGACACCGAATGAGCAAATAAAGGAAATTGTCAAAAATACTCTTCCTCAAACACACTATGACATCAAAGGTTGCACAATACTTACATTCAAAGAAGACTTACCATTACTGAAGGAAAAAATAACAGAATATTTCGATAACTTCAAAGAGGAAGAATGAACAAAAATATATTTTTGCTTAAATAGCTTCAGGGTCTATTTCTTCAACCATTTCACTTCCTTCGTCAATGTCAATAGAAGCTTCTTCAACCTTTGGTAAGAATTTCTGTATGACATCTTTGTTCGTTATTGTCTTCAGAGATGAAGGATAATATTTCACAGATGTTTCACCCTTCTTATATTCTTTCTGTTCGGAAAGATTCATAGCAATACTGAAGAAGTCAACGTTAGAGTTCTTTATAACAGTATAATGAGTATCTTTGACATTCACGAAGAAACTCTTTTGTTTCAAAACTACTGCTAACTCTTGTGAAGTATAACGTTTGCGGTCAATGACGATAGCTAATGGTCTGACATACTGACCAAACTTAGATTCTTTCACAAACTTCTTGTTAAAGATAACATTAACATTTGAAGCATTATTGAACTCATTCTTGATGGCAGTAGCGAGAGCATTGTATGAAAAGAACTTGCAATCTTGCATGTGTTTCATTAAAATAAAAATATTAAATTATTTTGAAAAATAACTTTAAAAAATCTAATCTAATTTTTTCAAAAAAAATATTTTTTTATTTCCTACTAAAGATGTATCGGAAGTTGTCTAAGTTAGAACACTCGGAAATAAAACAACTTCTTACAGAAGCTAACATAGATGTTGCAAAACATTACGCAACAAACAAAAAAGCACTCACTGACATCCTCAATGACTATAATGGTGCAATAAGTTATGATAGAATTCATGAGTTCATAAAGCCGCAACGCGGCGAGGACGAAGTCCATGCAAGAGCATTTCCTTTAAATGACGTTGCTATTGACTTATATCATAGACGTTCAGTACCTCATGAAGTAAGAAGAGAAATGTTTGACATAACAAATGCAAACGTTGGTGAAACAAGAAGAAGAGACGACACACTGAAACAACAGAGAAGAGAGATGTTTAAGAGCGCTATAGAACAAGTTCGCAAAGCTAACGATGTCATTCGTTCCATTGACGACAAACCAAAAGAAGGTGAGAGATGGTTAAAGAAAGATGAAGAGAATAGGAAGAGAAATGTGAAGTCAGGCAATAGACTCATTGACTTTAACATCGAAGCTTTAGATGAACCAAACAGAGACTACTTACACAAACATTTCGGTAAGGTTTTCATGAGACTCTTAGAGAAGATTAAAATAAACTCCCAACAAAGATGGATGGTATGTTATAAACTTGGTGGAAAGTATGAATGTTCTGTTAAACCTCAATAATATTGGAACATTACTACATCAGCTCTTGAAGGAGAACTTTATATCAGAGATAGAAGCAAATGCTGCAGGTATTGTTGAAATGCACTATGACTTCTTCTTGACAAACATAAAGAATCTTACTGAAATAAAGATGTATGATTTAACAGAATATGAAGGCTTAACGATGTCAGATGTAAAGAAAGGCAAACCAAAAAAAGAGACCATATAGAGATGAAAGCACACTGACAAATGACCAGAAAGCCATTTTGGAAGCTCTTAAGCAAACAGGAAACCCAGCACTTATAGAAAGCTTTTGGAAAGATAATGGTGAAAAGAAGTTTTATAAGAAGAGAAGCGGTCAGTTCTGGAAGTATCTTTGCACATTACCTATAAATCTTGAACGCTACCAAATCTTCAATGAACTGAACAAAAGAACTGCAACACTTATGACAGAAGATAACTGCTTCGTTTATGCTTGCATTCAGGCTGGAGTAAATGAAGAAACTATTGACACATGAGAGAAGTCATTCGTGTTAGAGACTTTCCTCAAAGTAAAGTACAAGAAATTTCTGACGCAACTGGTATAGCATTTAATGTTACCATTGGTTATTTCAATGACTCAAGACATAATGAAATAAAGAGATATATACCAAAAGAATGTGAAACTGTTCGAACTATTGACTTACTTCTTGTTGAAGACCACTACATGCTAAATGAAAGATTACCAATGACAACATATTTCATTCGCAACTATATAGAAATCTTGAAGGAGTGTGGTGGAATGAACATTGAGAAACAGATGAAGATTTATACAAAGAGAGAAGATAAATATGTAGTTCGCATGGATAGAACTACACCGCTATGGGATGTTATGAAAACATTGTGGGAGTGCAAATATTTCGAACCTATTTCTTATGGAGAACTTTTCACATATACGACTGACTTATATAAACAGAACCTTGCACCATTTAAAGATTTGACATATGCTCCAAAGTATTGTGTACAACTGAAGAAGAAAGCAGAGTCAAAAGAAGTAAATAAAGCTAAATGTAAGTTCATTCCTGAGCATGTTTTCTTTGCTGACTTTGAGTGTAGCACAGACGGCTTTCATAAAGCTTTTAACATCTGTTACGACAGTGAAGATGGTTCAGTGAGTGAAAGCATTTGGGGTCAGAACTGTGCAACAGAATTTTTGGAACGACTTCCTGACAAGAGTTTAATATATTTCCATAACCTCGGTTATGATATAAACTTCATCTTAAGACACATGACAGAAGTGAAAGGAACTCCCATCATTAAAGGTTCACGAACAATGCAAATAACTGGCTTATATAAAGGAAGGGCAATTATTATAAAAGACTCTTACAGTGTTATAAATAAGAAGCTTAAACTATTTCCTGCTATGTTTAACTTACAAACAGGACCGAAAGAAGTATTTCCATACAACTACTACAGCAGTGTTTTGTTAGCAAATGACAACAGAACTGGTGTCATTTCTGAAGCATGTAAGTTTGTCAAGGATGCAGATACATTCATGAAAAACATAGATTCCATCAAAGGTTGCAGGATAGATGAAAACCATTTCGATTTAGAAAAATATAGCTCATTTTATTGCAAACAAGATGTAAGAATTTTAAGAGAAGGTTTTGTTAAGTTCCGCAATGACATATTGAAAGAATTTGATTTAAACGTTTATGACTACGTTAGTATTTGTTCAATTGCTAACAAATTGTTTGAGAACAGAGTGTACTTCCCGAATGGAAATTTATATGATCTCTCAAATAAACCAAGAGAATTTATTTCACGCTGTATTCAAGGTGGAAGATGTATGCTGTCAGATAACATTAAACAAAAGAGCGAAAAGAAACTCATTGCTGACTTCGACGCTGTTTCATTATATCCATCAGCTATAGCAAGACTTTATACTTTAGAAGGAATTCCAAAGGTTATGAAGGATGAGATGTTAAGTTCTGAATATTTGTTAAAGCATTTATTCGATGACGACCAAAAGGAACCCATTGGTGAAAAGTTTATGTCTGGCTTCTTTGTTCTCATTAAGATAACAGAGATTGGAATACATAGACACTTTCCTTTAATAGTTTGTGACCCTGAACTAAATCCAGAACTTAACGTTCCCAGAAGTTCAAACACTTGCTGTTTAATGTATGTTGACCATATAACATTACAAGACCTCATAAAATATCAAGGTGTCAAATGTGAAGTGTTGCAAGGATACTATTACGATGGAAACAGAGATATTAGAATAAGAGATGAAGTAAAGAAGTTGTTTGAGTTAAGGTTAAAGTATAAGAAAGAAGGAAATCCTTTGCAAGAAAATATAAAGCTCATTCTGAACAGTATTTATGGCAAAACTATTCTATCTCCTATTGAGTCAAAAATAACCATAGTAGATGACAAAGATGCTATAAGATATGCCATCAGAAACTACAACCATATAGTGAAGTTCGAAGGTTTGGATGGTTCAGATAAAACTATTTTCAAGCTAACGAAAAGCATTTGCAGACACTTTAACTTCTGTCCACTTGGTGTTAACATTCTGTCTATGTCGAAGAGAATAATGTGTGAAGTATTCTGTACTGCTGAGGACTTAGGAATGGACATCTTTTATAGCGATACGGACAGTATGCATCTCTACAATGAAGATATCCCTCGTTTAGCTGAAGAGTTTGAGAAACGTTATGGAAGAGTTCTCATTGGTAAAAACCTTGGTCAATTTCATAGCGACTTTGCAGAAATCACAAAAGATAAACAAAGTTTAGCATACAAGTCAATATTTTGTGGAAAGAAGACTTACATAGACTTACTCACGAATGATTTAAATGAAGTTGCATTTCACTGCAGAATGAAAGGCGTGAAGCAAGATGTTATTGCTTTAACCGCTAATGAAATGTTTCCTGACTCTGTTCAGTGTTTCTATGATGAAGATAAAGGTTTAATGGTTCCGCAAGGAACATATGACAAAGACTCTGAGTTCAGTTTAATGAAACTTTACAAAGCACTTTATGACGGTCAAGAGATTGGATTTGACTTATGTAAGTCATGTCAACCTTGCTTTGAAGAGAAGTTTAACTTCTCAATAACGACTAAAACAAGCTTTATTCGTAAGTTGAAGTTCTGAGGTCATTTATTTTTGTCAGTAATGAGGTCATTTGTGATAAAAATAAGCCGCTAGCGGCAAGGGCGAAGCCCATGAGGTCATTTACAATACTGCAATGGTAGAGTTTAAGAGTTGTGCTTCAATGTAGAGACAGTCCTTATGGTCTGGAGGTAAGAACACTGGGCAGTTATGGTCATGAGTGGAGAACATGTCTATCCAAAACTCACGATTGAAGCCAGTTAATTTATAGTATTTAGGGTTAGGAAGTGGTGTAGTTCTTGTATGACCAATGAACTCATTTTCAACTCCCTTACTTAAGTTTGAATATAATATAGCTTGCTTTCTATCCCAAATGCCAGGTGTTACAATCTTTGAAAATTCATTTTTCCTCGGAAGCATTGCATAATAATTGAAAACATTCTTGAAATCATCACTTGGTTCAGAGATTTGAAATCTTATACGTAATGGATTTTCTTTCTTTTTAGCTACTTCATTGAATGGTGAATATTAACAAACTGACAGTCATGTGTTCCATCTTCATTTTCATTAAATTCATAATGAAAGTCTATAAGTTGTGGCTGACTACCTTCTTCTTTCAGTTGTGCAAGAAACTCACGTAAAGGCTGTAAAGTTTGTACTTCAATGTTAAAATTTTTCTCGAACATTTCATTAAATGAAATCATACATTGCAACAATGTTGTATCGTCTTTAAAGTATTTGTATATGTGAATGTTTTGGGCGCTTAAAGACTGTTCGTCATTTTCTATCTCGACTTGAAGTATAAAGTCAACCTTTCTGAAAGCACGTGTTATATACATAGATGTTATGCCAATGTACTTCTCTTCATTTATGTTCACAATCCAGTCTGTTGGAAACTTAAACGTTACTCTGTTCCCCTTTATTTTGACATCAGGGTTTTCACTACTGAACGCAACAGATAAAGGTATTTGTCTATACATTTAATTCGGATAAAAATAAACCATTTACTCTTTCTTTGCTTCAGCTTCTTTAGCTTTTGCTTCAGCTTCTTCTCTAGCTTTCTTCGCCAGCAAACGTGGGTTCTTTTGTCTTCCAGCAGCTAATGCAGCAAGTTGTTTTTCACTAAGTTTTCTCTTTGGTCTCTCTGGCTTTTGTTCTTGTTTTTGTTCCTTCAGTTCGGATAAAATTTGCTCACGAATTTCTTTCTTCAATGCTTCAACATCTATGACCCCTTGGGTCTTGTCCGTAGGGCTTGTCTGAGTCATTTGACTGCAGGTAAAAAATAAAATTAAAACTTTAACCGATGTAAAATGAGCTTGTCAAAATCAGAGCGAGAGTCTATTATATTAAATGACGCAGGAGGAATACAACATCCTTTCTATTACGTAAGTCAGAGTAAAGATGGTAAAATATACGTAAGAAAAAGAAAGGTTCCATTAGCGAATGCAGAAAGCGACAACATTAAGGTGCATGGCACCGAGGGCGAAGCCCATATAAAACCTTCTATTCAAACTGAAAAGTCAATAGAACCAGAAGAAAAGAAGCCAGATGTTCTTTCAATAACGAACCAAGAGCTTATTGCAAAGTTCGTGAATTTCATTGAAAAGCAAACCGAGTCAAAGAACCCTGACCCACCAGTGAAAGAAGTTGAGACAAAAGAGAATGTACAGTTCATTGAAAATGTCAAGAAACAACTTCCACCACGAATGCCAAGAAGAAGAGTGAGAATAATGAAGTAAATAGATATTTTTATCTGAAGTAAATACATGCAGAACGAACAGCTAAACGAATTTACTCCAGCAGAGCATATTCATCAGATTCGCTCATATTTCGATATCATAGACAATGCAGTTCAAATTGGTGACACTAATAGAAAATATTCTGACGCAAAGATTCCATCACAACCTGGAACTGCTAAAGATAACACATGGGTAACATTCAATCTCTCACCTCCTGGTGAAAATATGTTGGACCTTTACAATACATTCATTACGTATAAAATGGAAGGTCAATTTATTGTAGATAAAGAAATTGGTTCAGGTTCCAATAAAACAAACCACCAGGATTTTGGATTGGTTTCGATGACGCTTTCTATGCAGTTGCTGGATATCAAATCCTTGCAAATGGTCGTATCGTATATTCTCAAGACAACGCAAGAGAAGAAGCATATATAACTTCAAACTCACAAACTACCGAACAAATAAAGAAAGTAGATGTTTTCTCAAAGACTCGACATGAAGATGTATGGAGTCATTCGGGAACACGCAGAACAGGACAAATTGTTAGTGGTCCAATTACAGCAGGAAAATCATTTGATTTTAAGCTTCGTTTAAGAATTCCTGTTAGAAGATTCCTTCCATTAGAAGCTATTCGATTTATTCCAGCTTTTGCAGGAAACATTCAGCTTAAAGTAAAGTTCAGTAGCGACGCCTTACAATGCACATCTATATCTGTAAATGATATCGTTGCTTTCAATCCAACTCTTAAAGTTGCATTTGCTTCAGATTCAAATCCACCGACAAATAAATTTGTTCCATGGAATGAACCATTCACTATGATAACAAAGGCAATAGAAGCTAGTGGAACAGTTACTATTACAACTGTAACCCAGCAACTATTTCGAACAAAGATGGATGTTAATGAATGTTTCATTCATCCAAAATCATTCTCTTTAGACCCTAACATTTATACAGAACTTGTAGAACATTATACAAACGAGGCTTTATGTTTTCCTGTTAAAGTTATGGATTGGATTCCTATGGACGGTTCATTCTCAAAGAATACAGATAGTTCAAGTGCAACATTTACAGCAGCTTATACGCCTATTAATGTTAAAAGTATTTGGGCACTATTTAGAAAGAAAGACAACTATTATGTTAATTTTGAGAACCCTAAGTTTAAATATCTTCAGCTTTCCATGGGAGCTTATGGAAATATGCCTGCAGAACCTGAAAAATCATATGGACCTGTATTTTATGAAATGGTTGCGAACGCTTGCAATACAAACAATGATATGATTGGATTTAATGAAGATGTTATGAGGTCATTGGTGGATGATGGTAGTGTGGAACATAAATGGGATAGCTATGACAACACACATTTCTTATGTGGTTTTCCAACAGAAGTGGACTTTTGCTTCCAGCAAGGTCAAACATCTACTGCTCCAATAACATACAAATTGTCTGTTAAAGGACCTATTGAACTAGCAACTGAAAATGTACCAAAGCCACTTATTGGATTTATGAGGGATTGTTGCTTTGCCATTCAGGTGCGTGCTAATGGCATCCCCATAATAAGATTAGATGACTATAACTTAGCTACGGACGACAGTGAGGAATAAAGGATGAACGTTTATTTTTAAAGCTTATAAATGAGTTCTTCATCAAGCTCTCGTGAACCTTCACCATCTATGAAACAAACTTTACCAAACGATTATGGAGCACCTATTGAATATTTCTTACGAGCTTCACAATGGCAAAGAGCAGTCTCACCAAGGTTAGGTGTTCCACCAGCTCCTGTCAAAAATAGCATTTGGTCAAGTCCTTATATAAGATATGGTCTCCCACTAGGTTTGCTAGCTACAGCAGGAGCAGTTATGATGTTGAAAAGAAATAAAGCAAATGTTGTAAATAATACTGAAGTAGCTGAAGTTAAACAAACTCCAACACCTTCGCCAAAACCAACGTCAAAACCAACGCCTTCACAAGCAAAACCTTCAATGACTCCTGAACCTATGGAAGTACAAACTCCTATTCAAAAGTCAACTCCTAAACCGACTCCAACATTTAAACCAGAACCTACTCCTCAAATAAATCGTAAAACTCCTGCGTTTCCTTACTGAAAAAAATAACGTTATTTTTATTTAATATTAAAATTTTTATTTGATTGAAATGACGACTAAAGTCACTGAAGCAATGAAACAAAAGTTTTTGGTAGAATACATTAAATCAGGAACTATTCCAGAAGGTTTTTACATTCATACTATGAAAGATGGTAGAGTTCAGTTTAGAAAGATAAAGCAACCATTAGATAAAGAAGGAATTTTGAGAAAGATTAAACTTCATGAGGACAACATTGCTGAACTTAAGAAGAAGCTAGAAGAGTTGGAGAAAGCAGACGACAGTGAGGAATAAAATATTTCATTAGTTTTATTTTTACTGAAAATTTTTATTTGGATGTAATGACGAAAACTATTGAGATAACAAACTACAACGGTCATGAGTTCAAGAATTTGTTCTTCGTTCCTCGTGAAAATACATTCTATCAGATACGAGGGAGAAAGGGTAAAGTTAGTTTGAGCGTTTATGACAATAAACATAATGGGAGATATATAAAAGCAATAGATACAAACGGTAAACGTGTTTCATTAGCTTTGTCAAAACTTACATACATTTATTTTGACAGTGATTTTGACTCTGACGATTGGAGTGACAGCAGCGATACTGAAGAATATGAACTATTGTGTGAAGCACAGCAATGGGAAGCGCTGCAATACTTTTGTAAATGAGAACATTAGTGGGAACGTTAGTGAGAACGTTTATTTTTTCATTAGTGAAGTCGTTAGCGAAAATGTTAGTGAGGTGAAGTGGTTGGCGGCTTTGTAAATATTTAAGGTTAAGTTAGTGTTGTCGTTTGTGTTGTAAAATATACGTCAGCGGTTTTGTAAAGTGTCAAACCGTTATCTTGGGTAAGGTGGAACGCAGTGCCGCCGTACCCAAGATATGTATACTAACTACAACAGTGATGAGAGTTATGACGATATAAAAAAATATTTTATTATACTCATTCGAAATTAAAAATAATAAAATTTATATATATTAATTTCATTAAATCAAGGTTAAAAATCTCACCGGAAAAATAACCTCAGTGTGATAAATTTATCACCAGAAAAATTTACAATAAGGTTAATACCGAAAATATCGAAAAATCAACATTTAAGGTTAATTTAAGAGTATGCACTTTTGTCACCTACTCGTAAAAAAATCAAGTGGCTAACTAAAACAAAAAAATTGAATGCCGAATTGATTTTCATCAACATTTAGTAACTAAAGATACTCAAAGGCATAATTTATTTAAAATATTTTAATGATGGACCGATTATTGTAAAATAAATCAAGGTGACCGTTTATTTTAGAGCGCTACCATGAGCTTAGCAGGTGATAGTAGTGTCATCTGTTGCTCTTTGAGGGATCTCCATCTGAACGTGGTTCAGAATGCTCTGATTTCAAGCCGAAGTGATGTTGTCAATACTGATTTTCGAAAGATATTGGCATTAGATTTAGATGAAACTTTAGTTCTTACTTCATTCGAAGAAAGCTCCCCATATGACTTCAGAGTTGATATAAGCTTAGGAAATACTACTTACCCGGTATTTGTCCTGAAGCGTCCAGGCGTCGATGAATTTCTGCAGGAATCTCTTGATTTATTCAACGTTTACATATATACATCATCTGTAATCGAGTATGCAACAGCTATTGTTCGAGAACTAATTCCAGATTTCCCGAAATCAAAAATTTTACACCGCGAACATTGCAAATACATGAACGGCAATTTCATCAAGCAGTTAAGTCTCTTTGGAAGAGACTTATCTGAGGTAGTTACCGTTGACAATAATTCCATTTCCTTCTGTCTTAACCCAAATAATGGAATTATCATTCCAACATGGAATGGTGATGAAAAGGATGATAAATTGCTTAATGTTACTCTTCCTTTGCTCAGAGAATGCTATTTTGCAAAGGATGTAAGAAACCCAATTAAGCAATTTTATTTTCCAAAGAGACGAAGAGGAATTAGCCTTATTTCGCATATGCCTTAAAACTTATTGTATGGTTTTTGTTAATATTACATATTTTTTACCATTGAATTAGCTGTTTTCGTATCTTATATATTTTATATTTTATTTTTCTCCTACTGAATTTAGACGAAATTGTTTAAATATCAAATTCATCGCCAATTATATCGAAAAATAATATGTAAATATGAGATGTCCAATAATTTTATCAAAAATATCGCCTTTGATAGGTTTAAAGAAGAGTTTTAATGATTTTAGTCTTAACGCGCATTATTTCTTTACTTAATATATCAAAAAATGATTGAAGATGAATGATATGAAAAATTTAGTCAGAAAGAAATAAGCTTAATCCTGGCTCTCCTTTGAGTGGTGCTTTCTGTGCTTATGTTGTTCTCCTGTATGGTGTTTCTTCTTGCGGTGCTTCTTTCCAGCTGGTGAAGGTGTCTCTTCAACGTGTTCTTTATCATCATCAGATTCTGAAGATGTTGACAAGCCTTCTGAAACCTTTTCAGCAACTTTCTGGAAGAATGACTTATCTTGGGTTTCTTCTGCTGGAACCTCCTTTGTTTCGACAATTGTAACTGTTGTTGTTGTTCTCTTAACAGTTGTAGATGAGGTTCTATGAGATCTGTGATGATGGTGGTGATGATGATGAACCTTTCTTCCTGTTTTGAGAACAGTGCAGAAGATCCACTTCTGCTGCTGAGAGCCGTTGTTATTCCAAAGAATGATTGGTGTGCCTTCTTCGAAACGGCCTCCTTGAACATCGAGAACATAACCTGCAGAGTTGCGAATTGTCATGTCAGGATAATAGTGCCATTTCTCCTGACGTTTGTAAACACTGTCCTGGACAACAATTGATCCCTTTTCCTTAGAGAATGGTTCAAGAAGATGGCCAGAAAGAGCGTTAACCATGCGTTCCTTGAAAATCATGAATTGGTTTTGAAGTCCTTTTTCATACTTCCAAATGATAAGCTGGCCTTCGCGTGTTTTAGTGCTCTTATCACCAATTGTAAGGAGATACTCTGGATGTGCTGCGTTGATGAAATAGCAGTTCATAGTCTCGAGTGAGTTGTTGACGATAGAAAATTAATTTTATTTCTGAATTTTATATCCATGCGCCGACTTTGACATCTATGGAAATCCACCTTTAGCAATCATAGAATAGAAATATTATAAAATTTCGAATTTATATATTTTCATTTCATTTTCTTTTTTCAATTCAAAATAGAGAGCGCGTTCTCAAAAATTACAATAATTCTGCTTTATCTCTCGAATAAAAGACAAATACAAGGTAGTTCAATGTATAATATCGTTGTAACGAAGTTTAATTTCAATAACTAGTAGTAGGATAGGATGGGTTTTGTGACTTTTTTTGTAAACGTAAGAATTCATACAATATCGAGCGATTTTGTATCATTTTTTTAACATATTATTTTTAAAATAATTTATTTTTTTATTCTTACATAAATGACCCAACAAGTAAAACCAGATAAAATAGATTATCGAATTTTAGAGGATGGTGTTCCTGTTTATATTCAAAGATTTAAAGGGAAGCAATATTATAGAATTGTTAATCCTGAATACATAAAACATTTATTTAAAAAGGAAGACTGTGAATTATTAAACGTTAATGAATATGAAACCAATAAATCAAAATTGAAATATAAATATATTGGAAGTGATGAAAGATGCAAAGATAAAGATAAAGTTTATACAGTTTCATATAATGAATGGAAAACCAATAAGATAAGAAAACATTTAGGAGATTATGGTAAAAGTTCTGAATTCTTCAAATCTAGTATGTACGAGAGAGTAAAAGAAATTAGAAATAATTATTTTCATGAATGAAAAATAAACTTCTTACGAAAAATTAAAACTTAGTTATGTTTATTATTTTATTTTTTTTATTTTGTATGAAATGAGCGTCAAGACTAACGACGTTAAAAAATTAGGATTCACAAACGAGGAAATAAAGGATATATTAGATGAGATGTGTTATGAAGTTAGTAAATATTATTTAAGAAATTGTCAAAAATTTGCCGAGTTATTAAATGATTTAGATTATGATGGAAAAATGAATAAAGATGATGTTATAAATTTCTTATATCCCACATCTGAAGAAGAAAAACCTAAAGAACCTGATGTTTTCCCTGAATATTATGAAGAACGGATTAAAGATGATGATGAATACGATGAAATTGAAAAACTGGAAAAAATAAGAGATGAAATAGATGAAAAAATTAAGGAATTAAGAGAAGTTGAAAAATATAATGAAAATGAAGTAGAGGGTTTAATGAATATCTCAGCTTCAGAATCAGCAGTTCAGAAATCTCATGAAGAAAGATATAAAAATTATGTCTCAGAATCAACACAAAATTTATTAGATGGTGAAATAGACGAAACACTTTCAGAAGAAGGTACTAAATTTATTCGTAAACATAAGTTACAATTTATTGATAATGAAGAATACCCTTGTATCTTACTTTCACCACCTTTAGATTCCGAAAAATTCAAAAAAGCTCTTAAAAACGTGACATATGCAACTAATACGATTAAGAAAGAAGATCATGATATTTACACAAATTATTATTTAAATAAATGCACAGGTGTTGATAAAGTTTTTGATTTATTAGATAAAATATCAAAAGAAACCATTGGAACATATAAAATTTTATGTGATTGCGGTTTCATTGTTGAAGATACTAATAATGTTTCATATGAAAGAACAGCACCGAAGGAAGATGAAGTGGAAAGGTCTATACCATTCGTTATTAAGAATATAAAAGATATGAAAACTTATAACATTATATTTATTCATTTATTTCAGAAAAAATGGAAGCAACCCATAAAACATCTTCTCATCATTTATAGCTATTCATACATTCCTTTTCAAAGTTGTGAAATTAAATAAGACAGGAATTAGATTTAATGTATCAGGGTACGCATTCTTGAGTAAATTAAAATGTATTCGTCACGTCGCGGATGATAAAAATTTATGTGTTCTTAATTCATTTTATGGGCTTTAAAAAATAAACTTTATTTTTATTTATTTTTAATTTTATTCTTACATAAATGAACAAAAACGGAACGCTAAAATGAATGATAATCAAATTAGAGCAGAAGGTAGAAGGTTATTTAAACGCTTCTATAACATTCCTGATGGTGTTAATCCTAAAACTCGTAGAAGCTATTTAAATGAAGCAATAGATGCATATGAAGGGTTTGACATTTCATCAGAAAGTGAGAGATTAGCGAGAATGTTAAATGTTAATATTGATTTCTATTATTGTGATCCTCAACCAGAAGACGTGGACATAAATAAGGTAGACTTTCCATTAGTGGAATCAATAATGATAGATCCAGAATTTGAAACAGTAAATATTTTATTAACACAGAGTCCATGTGGAAAACTTCACGCTGACAGAATAACAGACGTTGAAGCACTCACCGGCTATAAAGTTTGTCCATATTGTAAAGAAGAAGTTTATTCTATCCGTGATGATCCAGAAAGGAAAAACCAAAGAAGATTTTTAAAGCATTGTGAGAAATGTAAAGAAAATAATGGAAGATTAATTCAAGACGTTCAGTTGCAAAAGACACAACAACCATATGCACCACATATTACGAAACAGAAGATATATCAGTGGTTATTAGCTCATAATTTGCAGGAATATTATCAACCGACAAGATATTATATTACTTTTGACTTCGAAACATTAGAGACTAAAGAAGAATTACAACTTTCTGAGTGTGCAACTTTGAACGCTTACTTAAAACCATTCATGGTATCATCAACGGTTAAATTAAATGATAAAACATATACGAGGAATTTTTGCTTAACTTCGAGTGATTCTTTTATTTCTGATTGGATTGAGTTTTTATTTTCAACCTGTTCATTAGTTGCTAAATCAAATATTGAACAATATGAAGAATTAATGAAGTCGCAAACGGACCAAACGGCGGGGACTTTGTCTCATACATTAAATGAAAAACAGAAGGAAGCATTTAAAGAACTTCTAGATGAGGAATTCAATAAAGTGAATATCATAGGTTTTAATTCGGGAAAGTTTGATTTAAATTTAATTCTTCGTGATTTAAACACTGCAAAATGGAAAATAAAATCAATGCTGGGTTCATCTTCACAATTTAAGCAAGTCATTGTAAAGAAAACAAACGTTCCATATGAATTGAGATTTATTGACATCAGAAATTATATAGCGGGTGGGACATTAGACCAATTCACTCAAGATTTCGGAAACAATAAATCACGTGTTAAATCCTTTTTCCCTTATCAATTCATCACATGGGAAAATTACGAAGAAGAATTATATAAAGAGGAACCATTCACTCAAGATTCATTTTATTCAGCATTAACCCAAGAAACTATATCAGATAGTGATTATCAAATATATCTCAATGATGCTAAAAATTTTAAGAACAGATTAGAATATTTTATTCATTATTGCAATAAAGATGTTGAAATTATGATTGACCCAATTGATAAAATTATTGAAGAAACATTTGTTTATAAAATTGACATGCTTCATAATCTTTCTTTATCATCGAATGCTTCAATGATTCGTTACGCTTTAGCATATAAAGACTTTAATCCTAATGAAAAATATCCTGAGGAAGAGATAGAATCAAGTTTTGAATTAACGAAAAAGTATTGGAAATATAAAATTGAATCATATAAGAAACAAGATGAAAAAGCAGAAAGGGATACTAAAAATAATGTTTCAATGGATGATTTTCAATACTATCACGATTTAATCCTTTCATCTAAATGCAAAATGTGTGGTAAAGCGTTTACATATGCAAATAAACCAACATTGGATAGAATCGATAATGAAAAACCACATACCAAAGAAAATTGTCAGTTAATGTGTTGTTATTGCAATGTCGTAAAATCAAATAAAGATGAAGATGTTCAACGTTTAAGAATCAATTTAAGAAATTATGCATTAAAAAATAATTTACCAATGACTTTAGATTCAGTTGAAGCTTATCACATTCTCCGTAATGGAATTACTGGTGGTTATCAAATGTTCAACATAGAGTAAATCTTAAAGGAATCACGCACATTAATAAACTTTCATATAATCCAGAAACTAAAACTGTATCAAATGAGGACACCACCAACATTATGACTCATTTCGTTGGTGTTGATTTTAATTCATTATATCCTTCATCATTTTCATCTAATCCTCATGATTTCATTCAATATACTGACCATAAAATGTGTATGCCGGGAAGATTGAATGGTGTTATCATTTGTGATACAGCAACAAAGAAAGTAAAAGCACTGGGAATAATTAAGAAGAAAAATACTTTATTCGTTGCTGAAGTAAAGGGTCACATTGATGAAAAATACATTAATGATTACATAAACTTTTTACCGATAATAAGAAACTTAGATATTATCACAGATGAAAAAACAATTGGCAGTTTTATGTATAATTACATGAAATCAAACAATTTACCAGTTGACCAGAAACAGAGGAAATTAACTCAGTTAGCATCAACACACAACCAATATCAACCATTTTCTTCTTATTATCTTTGGTATCTAATAGACAGATTTCATTTTATCATTGATGACATTCAATCAATTTTAACATTTACGAAAAACACTTGTTTTAATGAATTTGCGAACAAATTTATGAACGAAAGACAAAAGGCTGAATTAGAAGGAAATAAAGGAAAAAGTTTATTTTGCAAGATTTCACTTAATGGATCATATGGTTACGATGCAATGAATACACAAAATTACGCAAAGACTAAAATAATGAATGCACAGAAGGCACGCGTTGCATGTATGTCAAATAAGTTTAAAAACATAAGAGAAATAGGTGAAGATGCATATCAAGTGATGCTCAAAGATAGATTTTATAGATATGATACATGTTTACAAGAGGCATTCTTCACTTTAGATAATGCTAAATACTGGTATTTAGTTTTCATTTATGATTTTATGTATAAATGCATGGATGTTAATCGTTTTCATTTCATTGAAGGTGATACTGATTCATCTTATTGGGCTATTGCTGGCGACCCAAGTCTTCCTAACACTCAAGCATTTCAGGCGATTGTTACCGATAAAAAATTTTATGATAAAAACATTTTCAAATTCGCACCTTTTGATTTCTTTTGTTTTGATGAGAAATTTAAACCTAAATTAAAGAATAAAGCTGAAGAAAAAGCACATGAGAAAAAATTATTGGGTTTAGCAATTGAGAAACAAGGTGATAACATGGTTGCTTTATGTCCTAAGTGTTATACATCATTCAACGGTTCAATTGATGGAAGTGATTTTAAAAAGATTGCACAAAAAATGAAGGGTGTTAGTTTAAGACAAAATAAGCAATTAACACCTAAAAAATATTTGGATATAATAAATGATAAAGTGATATTTGATGGTCAAAATATTAATTTACAACTTAAAAATGAGTCAATGACTCGCTTAACAATTGGTAAGACTGCATTAACAGGAGCACACACTAAGGCCGTATGTTGTGAAAATGGATGTTGTATGCCATTTATTTAATACAATAAATATTTTATTTTTAATGAAATACCACAGAAGAGACAAAAGGAACCAAATCGATTTATACCAAATGGTTTTAACTTTCAGATTCCAAATAATCAACAGCAACCGCCACCATTTGATACCGTTTTAGAAGAAGGAACCGTTAATGATGGTTTTGATACTATGATTCAAAGAGGTGGGCACCCTTAAACATTTATTTTATTTTTATATAAATGGATAACACAGATTTAAAAAAATTAATTTATGATTTAGTACTTAATCAAAATTTTCTTACTTATTATGATTTAAAAGCATATCTCCAAAAATATGATAACAATATAACGGGTGATGATATGGAATATTATTATCCATATTATAAAAATGAAATTTTGAAATATCATGATAAAATAATTTCTAAAATTAAAGACAAAATTAAAAATAATGAATATACAAAGGGAAAAACTAAATCACAACTTAAACAATTGAAAGATTTCAAAAATAAAGTATTAACAGAAGAAGATATTGATGAATTATATAATTTATATAATCCTGAGCCGCAAAAGCCAAAGGAACAAAAACAAAAGATGCAAAACACCCAGGTCCTTCAGACCATAAATGAAGCACAAGCTTTAATTTATGATTCATTAGTTAAACCATATTCAGCCCGAGTTTTAAATGAAGATCAACTTTTGGAATTCATCCTTCAACATAAACTCGAAGCGGGAAAGTATATCAAACCTTTATATACAACATATTTAAAACAAATGAATAGAATACATCCAGAATTAATGAAGGGGGGAATGAAATCCAAAATCAAAGCAGATAAAATTAAACCACTTGCAACACCAAAACCTCCAACGACAGTACCGCCTCCTCCTTCAGTTAATCCTTCATCATTCACTTTATTATATCCATTTCAAACATTAAAGAAGCAAAAAGATTTTAAAAAGGATTTCAAGATATTAAATAAACCAATTGACCCGAAAATTCAACCGTTAAAGGAAAAATTTAGTCGCCCTTCATTTGCACCATATCCATATTCATACGAAATCGATCATTTAGAATATTCAAAAGGAAACGTTACTTATTTATTTGCCATTAACATTAACACTAGATATTTATATTGCATTCCGGTGAAAGGGAAAACAGAACAGGAAACAAGAAGAGCTATTCAATACTTACTAGATCATGAAAGAGTAGATAATATAAGGGGTGATGGTGATAAAGGATTTCAGGCAACTATGACTCATTATTTCCCACAAATTAATTTTTTCTTTTCATCCTCTCCATATACGTTTCATAATAAAATAGTTGATGCGGTAATGAGAACTCTTAGAGATGCGTTAGGGGTTAACGGTCAGATATACTGGGATGGAAATCATGACTCCATCATACAACAGTTAGTATATTATTACAATAATACATGGCATAGAACTATAAACATGAAACCAGTGGAAATGAAAAATGATATTTCAAAAGAATGGGAATATATTAGAAAGCAAATGGAAAGGTTGAATGATGTTAAACGTGAACAAATTAATTCGGGGCTCATGAATTTTAAACAAGGGGATAAAGTTTTGATTCATCTCGATTATGGAAAAACTAATAAATCAATGACAAAAAGAAGACGAAGATTTGACACAATAGCTGAATTTGTTAGATATATTAACGGCAATGCATTAGTTGAAGTTGACAATAAATTAATAGAAATTCCGATTTATTTTATTACTCCATTATATTTAAATAATATTTAATTTTTTTTATTTCGTAAGAAATGAGTGACAACAAAGCAGCCAAGAGTCCTGATTTAATTAAGATTCAGAGTCCAGACGATGAATATAAAAAGAAACTAAACAGAATTAAATCAAAAATATGCTATTACAAAAAGAAGCCACAATGCGGTGGGGTTGATGCCCATAAAACTAATGGAACTGAAAACGATGAAGAGAGGAAAGAAATAATCGAAAAATTAGAAACTTACCGTTCAATCCTTAAACTGAGTGAAGCAAAAATAAAAGAATTTAATAGAATAAATAAATTGATTGGAAGAGATGAATTTAATAAAGATGAATTTTTAAACTCAATCCAAATTTAATTTTTTCAGTGCTACCATGTTACCATGTGCTACCAGGTCATTTAACTTCTCTTAAAAATGATGACAACATGACATTTTGACAACAACACAGGAGGAAGGCAGTTATGAATTATTTTTGAAGAACTGAAGGTGCTACCATGTTACCATGTGCTACCAGGTCATTTAACTTCTCTTAAAAATGATGACAACATGACATTTTGACAACACAGGAGGAAGGCAAAAATAAATTCAAATCATACTTTATAAAGCATCATTTACAGGTATTTCATCGTCAGTAAATGAATCCTCATTATCGTTTGGTTCAACCTGTTTATATAATCCTTTCATTTCTTCTTTCAAAACATAACACCATGTTTGTTTATCGTCTATTCTTCTATGTTTCCTATCACATTTATCCTTAATACTCATTTGAAAATTCTTGTCTTTCATGTCTGATGGTTTGCAGAATAGAGCATTTTCACACGTCATACCTGCACACAATTCATCATAATGTGTATTTATCCATACATCTAAAGGATTTGTTGATAACTCGATTAAATCTTGTTTGGCTTCAGTCATCGGTATGATTCGTACATTAAATGATGAAAGGTCATATTGCATAAAATATGTTAGTAAATTATCATAAAATTCCTTTGTGCATGAATCCATTAAATTCTTGAAGTAATCAAATTGACCCTTAAATTTACCATTAACCCTTAAAACTACGTATCTTCTGTCTCCAACTTCAATTTTGACAGGGTAGACGTTTTGTCATGATTTCATCGTAATGAGTGTAAATGACCCAAAATATATTTTAGGGTAGAAGGGTAGATCTAACCTCATTTCTAACCTCATTTCTACCCTCTTGCGATTTTCATACGGAATCTCTTCTCTCGGTTTTCCGAGGGAAGCAATCATATGAGGAAATTCTTCTAAAAGTTCTTTTGTCTGTTGGTTTTCAAACCAATGATATGATTGCTTTGTAGAACGAAGAGCATTCATTATACTTTGCATTTGGTACATGTCATCTTTGACCGAACGAATGAGGCGAAGTTGTTTGTTATATTGTATGTACTCGTATTCTTCATTTATGGCTTCATGAACGATAGCAGTTGTTGTGTTCTCTGATGTTGACATTACTGTCATTTCATACAAAATAAAAATAATTTTAAAACTAACTTTATTTTTTCTGACTTTCACAAAAGACCAAAAATAAACGCTTTACATGTATTTTTCAGCAACTTCGTCAAATAATTTTATAGCTTTATCTATCTCATCTACTTCAAACGTTTCTTTACCTTTCATGGGAGCACCATACCTTTTCTCAAACTTTTCAAGTAGTTCTGTTTCAGCAGCTCTCATATCATTAACGAACACAACCTTGACTCTATTGACTGTACTGTCATATCTTTGAGTTATATTATATGTTCTTCCTATCTTATATCTCTTTGTATTGAAGTCCTTCGGTTTCTGAACGATGTAAAGTAAGCCTTCACTGCAACGTTCTGAGTCGAATGAACCATAAGTTATGAAGTTATATCCAACAACTGGGTCTAACCATAACAAAACTATTGGTATAAGACTTTTGTCTATAAGATATACTCTTGTTCCATGAAATGCTACTGATATCATAAGCTCAGGATTTCTTGTCAAAATTTTCTGAGTAGAAGCAATTCTAACCCAGTCCTTTGTTTTCTTTCCAGATGGTGTTATAATGTCTGACAAAGAATATTTGTTGTATTTCTTTGAGTATCTTACGTTTAAATCACCTATTCTAACCACTTTGGTGTCATTGTCTATCTTTCTAACTGTTTCAAACTCAATGTTTGTCATTTCTGTCTTTACATACAAAATAAAAAATTTTCTTAGAAAAAATTAGCGTTATTTTTCTAACTAATGAAATTCATTATTTTTGTTGCTGAATTCAATAAAAATATATTTTAGGTGAAGAGGTGAGATCTAACCTGATATCTACCCTCATTTCTACCCTCAAGATTTACAAACGTTTAACGTGATATACGTTATGAATTCGTGAAATTTTAAATATTTTTGTAGCTTCTATTTCTTCAGTTAATATATCAAAAATTTTAACAATGCCGAAAGTTTCTTTATACTTCTTCTTGACATCAGATAAAAGGAAATCATCAGCTGTGGGATAGTTTTTATTAAGAAATGTCAACATGTCCATTTTATCTTCTGCTGGCTTTTCTGCTTCTTTCTTTAAGTCTGCGTAATCGTTTCTCATTCTTTCTATCTCTTTTAGTGAGTAGTTATATTTCCTCATTGCTGCTTTACATTTTGAGCATTGCGGATTCATTTTTGCGTTATACATTGAAACATTACCAGCTAAAATAACTAAAGCATCAATGGCTTTCTTTAAATCTGAAGCAGTTGGTTTTATCTGTTTGTTCCATACTTTGCCTCTTCTGTCTTTATCTCTTATCTGCCACACACATTCAGCAGCTAATGAAACAAAGTTATCGTAAGTCTTAAACTCCTCAGATTTATATATGTCAGAAATGTTTTTATAAACCATGTCGCAATCTTTGTTCATAACTTTATGGTTGCAATGAAAACCAAGGAATTCATAATTTACTTTACGTATGAACTTCTTTATTTCTACTGAATCAGTAACTTTAACTTCAATTTCATCGAATTCAGGAATAGTTAGTTTTTGTTGCTGAACTTCCGGTAATTTAGGCAAATGGTCTATGATATCTTGCATTTCATATAGCTCCTCTCCATTTGTTTCATCTTTTGCACTACAGTCTAAATTACTTGTTAAAAGTTCTTGCTTTATTCTTTGTATTTCTGTTTCAAAAGTATATGAAGAAGGAATGAAGTTTTTCATCTCTACCAACATTGACGTAGGATTCATGATTAATGAATTTGGTGCCGTAGTTGTGGACAGAGTCCCGCCGTTCGTGGCTTGAATTGTTGTTGTGCCGATTGTTGAAATCATATCTTTTATACAAAATAAAAAAATAAAAATAAAACTAACTTTATTTCTTCTGTCTTAAGGAAATTCATGAAAATTCATGAGGGTAGAAATGAGGGTGGATATCAGGTTAGATCTAACCATCTACCCTAAACATTATTTTTGCTGAATTCAGCAACAAAATGAACGAGGTCAGGATGTATGTAAATACCTTTGAATTCATTTATAACGCCCTTAGTAAGCTCATAAAATGCTTGTTTTGAGGTGGAGCCAAAAGTGGCTCGACCGTATTCTTTCAACCAAAACTCAAGAATTTCCTGCATGAATTTTGTATAAAAAAACAACCGTCTGAATTCCGGCGGTTGCTATATTCTTCACAAAATGCCTTATAATACTCTTCCCAGGACTTATTTTCCAACAACTTTCTAAAGTCTTTCCTAAACTGACTGACTGACAGCACAAAGTGGCTTAACGAAAACATTAATATATAAAATTCATGAAAATTCATAACGTATATCACGTTAAACGTTTGTAAATCTTGAGGGTAGAAATGAGGGTAGAAATGAGGTTAGAAAAGTGGTTAGAAAACGTGTTAGATCTAACATGCTAACATAAACATTATTTTTTGGTGTAAATAAATGGTACCATTAATGATATCATGACTGTTCTCGTTCATGTCTGATTTACATCTAATGAAAAAGTTTAGAAGAATTTTCTTATTCTTTCTGGCATATTTTTATCTTTCCAGTACTCCCGCTCTAATGGTCCCAGATGTGTTGGCTTCGACTCTCTCAAGTTCTTAGATGGTATAACATCTTCAACGCCTCCTTCATAAGTCTTGACAAATCATTTACGATGAAGTCTTGACAAATCATTAACGATGAAGTCTTGACAAAGCATATACGATGAAACCATTAACGTAAACATTTACGATGAAACCATTAACGTAAACATAAACGTAAACATTTATTTCCTGTGTTGTTGTCAAAATGTCATGTTGTCATCATTTTTAAGAGAAGTTAAATGACCTGGTAGCACATGGTAACATGGTAGCACCTTCAGTTCTTCAAAAATAATTCATAACTGCCTTCCTCCTGTGTTGTTGTCAAAATGTCATGTTGTCATCATTTTTAAGAGAAGTTAAATGACCTGGTAGCACATGGTAACATGGTAGCACCTTCAGTTCTTCAAAAATAATTCATAAATACCTTCCTCCTGTGTTGTTGTCAAAATGTCATGTTGTCATCATTTTTAAAAGAAGTTAAATGACCTGGTAGCACATGGTAACATGGTAGCAGTGAAATAAAATTTTGTTATCAGTTATTTTATCATCATTTTATCATCATTTTATTAAGTTCATCTTTAGTTAATAATTTGAATGGATTCGCCACTGTTCCACCTTGAGTCACAACACTTGCCCCGGCTAATTGTGAAGAACCTGGGATAAGTACTCCATGAAATGATTTCATTGGTATCATTAATTTAGAAATAGTTGGCTTAATTAATTTTGTCATTTATGATAAAAATAAAAATTTAAATTATGCCGTTCACTCTTTTGGAGCTCAGGACTTTCAGTCCGTTCTAAAGTTTGTTTCACAAACATTGAGCGTTCATTGAACTCTATACCATGCGTAAACTGTCATGTAAGGTGGCATGTATTCTTTACTTTGTCCGTTGTTTGCGTATATCCTGAAACGAAATGTGTATGGTTTCCTTCTCCCTGAGTGTCACTCCAGTAACAATTTATAGCAAACTTAACGTCGTCTTTAACATCATATCCTTTACCTTTTGTCATTCCTGACCAATCCCAATATCTATGCTTATGCCAACCTGCTTGAGATGTACTTAAATCTATGTAGTGACTGTGTGCAGGTAAATTTTCACCTGAAATCGTTTTACTTCCACCTGTTTCCTTTGAAGAGTTTGCACAATACAAAAACCTGTCAACTATTTGTTCCCATGCACCAACACCAAACATTACTTGAGGACCTCTTGCATCCATAGATGTATAAATAGAACCTACTGGGTTCATTAAATCAAACATATGAGATATTATAGGATTGTCTCTTTTGAACTTAAAATATAGTGCAACTATTTCAGGTTTCTTCTGGTTTGTGTCAGAATATTTTTTATAATATAATCTAATGTTTTCAGGGTAGGTAAAATCTTGACTATAATATTTATTTCTGTCATCTGTATAATAATATACTATTCTCGTTTTTTCTATTGCATTATATCTTTTATATCTATAATAATCTAAATATAATGTTAGCTTTTGTTCATCTACACGTGGTGTTCTGTCGTCATCTCCATAGTCATAATAATATGGTGCTGGAGCTGGGTCAGGCAATGTCATATCTGCCATTTCATAAACTCTTAAATATTTCTTTTGTTCGTCTCCATATAAGTTTAAGTAGCAGTTGTTGTCTAATGGAACTTTAACTTGTGTACCATCATTCTTTTTATAGCTTACATACATTTCATTGTTATTTTTCGGAATGAGTTTACACTGTGTACCATTTTTTAAGGAGTGTACAAACTGCCATCTAAAATATTTATTTTCTTCATTGACAGAAAAATCACCAACAATAGTTTCAATATTTTTTGTTCCTATCAAACTTTGGTATATTTCGTTAACATATGTTTTATCCGCCTTCTTCTCTAACTCATCGTTAACATATGTTTTATCCGCTTTAAGGTCTAAACATCCTGAAACCCATCCTGTATCAGCTTTAACTTTAAAAGTCTCAAATGTCCATTCATGATACCATTCAACCTTTTCTTTAATTTCATTATCTTTTTCATCAACATAAACCAAATTTGCCTTCTTATTTAACTCACTATCCACATATTCCTTATCTACCTTCTTCATTATGTCGTTTAGGAAACCTTCTATGAATTCCTCATTTAAATTAAATCTTCCAATCTTCAAAACTTTAGGAAATGCATTTAATGCGTAATATCTCTGTTCTTCTGGTGGAATTGATGTTATATCATCCGTTATTCCTTTAATTTTAGAATTCATAAATAAAATTTCTTTTATATTTGATATCACTGCACCACCTTTGCAAACGAATTCGAAACGGTCATTTTTCAATACTATCTCCAAATCTCCATATTTCAACCTTTGCGTTTGTTCTGCCGTCTTTGAATTATATGCATATATGGCGTATGTAATGGTCTGAAGGACCTGGGTGTTTTGTGCCTTAAGTTGCTGTGGTTTAATCATTTATTATGATTTAAAAATAAATATTTAATCTGTTATCTCATCAGCTATTTTCTCTATTTGAAATTGCCATAATATTTCATTCATGAATTCTAAATCACAATCAAATAGGTCAGTTATTCTAAATTTAATATTTGATAAATCTTTTGAATGAAGAATAAATGAATTCCCGGATAATTGAAACGGATATGATAAAGAAAATGTGTTTAAGTTGATGGATAAAATGTTTTGTATTGATGGGTAAGAGTTAGGGTCTAATGTTTGATGTGAAAATCTCATTGGGGTATTAACTTTATCACATTTGATTAAAATGAAATTGGAACCAGTGTCAGAATACAAAACATCCCCAACATCTTTTTCAAAATTTAATATCCCCAACAATGAACGAAGATGAGGAGTACAAAATTTAATTTTCAGCGGGAATTTAATAAGGTTATTTATTTCATCAAGTTCAAAAAGTTTATCGGGTTTTGATTTAAAATTTTCTTCATACCATACGATAAATGATTCATTTAAATAACTTAAAATCATGTTAATATCCCATTTCACTATCACATTATTTATATACATATCATACGTTTTTTCAAGGTCATCTTTAATAAATGATATATAATCTGAAGGGTCTAAAAGAATGGGATTAAATTTACCACTCACAGAAACGAGAGTAACATTATAAATTCCGCTAACTGTTAAATTTAATTCACAGCTATTATTCGAAATAATATTGATAATTGACATTTTTATTACGATTAAAAATATGGTAAAGCGTTATTTTCCAGTGATAAATAAAACTAGAATAAGATTACCTCAAGAATTCATAAATTCAACGAATAAGAAATTCATTCATGTTATAAATTTTAGTGTTTTCAGAAAATATGAGTCAATGTCATATTCATCAACAGGTTATATTTCACTTCATTCAAATTTAGTTCAATCAAACCCATATAATGACCATTTCATAAGATTTTCAGATGGTATTAAAAATGTAATTGATAGATTAAAATATGAACAGATTGACAATATCGAATTTTTGGAATTTTGGTTTAAATATCCGATGGAAAAAAGATTGAAGTTAAAGATAAAGCTGATACTATAACAAAAACAATTACAATGACCGATCCGGATAGTGGGGAACAAAAAGAAATAAAACAAACGATAGAAACTGGTGAAAGGTCAATTATTATCGATTATGATTCAAAGGATTATTATTCGATAATGTTAATGCTTGAATATTAAATAGCCTTAACAAAGAATTTTTCAAGTGATATTTTATATTCATCAACTATTTTATTATAAATATCATTATATGTTAAATGAAGTTCAGTTGTTGTTCCGTTCTTTGATATCTTAATTGTGCTAATATCCTTTATAGGATTTATTTTTGCAACTGTTCCGCAGCATGAAACCTCATCATCTGTGAAAAATTGAATCTTAATGTCTGAATCTTGAACATCACAAAGAATGGCGATAATGTGAATTAATGATTCATAAGGTAAAATAATTAAACCGGATTGTCAATTAAATTTATTATTGAATCATAATTATAATTATTATATCACGGTAAATTTTCATTAATTCTGAATTAATGTCTATTTTATATGGGTTCTCGATGTTTGATGAAAGAGGCGGCGGGTATGTTGGATAAGTGGGAATTTCAACAGGTTCTTTACCGGGTTCAGAGAAAATGATTGGGTCTCCATCTTCTTTATTTTGCTCCTCCTCCTTTTTCGTAAGTCACGAGTTAATAATTTGGTTGAGTTGCTGACCTTGTTAATTCAGGGCTAACATTAACTTTAACATTTTGAATAATTCGTGATTTATCATCATTTACGTTATAACCAAACCGTAATCTCTGCTTTTGCGTTAGTGTTCTTTTGACTAGTGAAACGTCTTCTCATTTATATTCGAATAAAAAAATATATTTAAACTTTTATTTTGCTGGAACTTTTGAATCTATTATTCCCTGTATTTGTTCATGAAGTTGATTTTTAGCATTTTTCATCGAAATTAATAGACCGAATATATTCATTAATTGCATTCTTATAATCATCTGATTTCTCAAATTTTCTTTTATCTGATTCCTTAACTAAATCATAAGTTAAACCGCGTTGCTGATATAATGGTTTCTTAATTAAATCTTTGAATGCTTGAGATAAAGCACCTGATGCAATTCTTGCTACTATTAATTTGGTTGGAATTGCTGTTTAAGTTCATCTTTAACATTTGCGAAAACTGGATCGAATAAAGCAACTTTAAAGAATTTCTTAGCTGAAATTTCAGGTCTAATATTTGCATATTGACCATCAAACTTGTTAGAATATTGTGGTAATCCATCCGGTCCCTCTTCAATGCATTTAATTCTTCATTGAAATAAGAATATGGATTACGACGGTATGAATTAATTGGACCATTTTCACTTCTCCAATGTATTGTTTAACAGCTTTTCCATTTTCATCAAATTGCATAGGATAACGTTCATTATATACTTTACGTTTAGGATAATCAGACATAGTTAATTTATAACCATTTATGACTTTAATATTACCTTGACCATCAGTAACGAAAACTTCATTTATACCATCAGGTTTTTCCATTTGGACCCGTAATGTCTGCTTCGTGTGCTTCCCAATTTGGACCATGACGTTTGGCATATGCTTGAGCTTCTGGTAATGTTAAAACGTTTCTCATTTGTTTAACATCTTTTTGAAACCAGCAACAATATGAACTAATTCTTTCATTCCATCAGGAACTTTCATAGTTCTATTATATCACCCTTTTTGTTTGTCCCTTGTTTTAATGGAACCTGTAGAAGATTTGCAATTTCTGTCATGTTTAATTATAAATAAAAAATAAAAATTAATTATAAAAAGTTAATCAAATTTAACACTTCCTTTATTTAAATCAACTATTATTTTCCATGTTCACCTAATTGCTGATATTGTGTGTAAAGTTCATTAATGCTCATTGGTAAATTCACTTGATAAAGCATAACGTTCAACTGTTGACGACTAAACCACTGAAAATGAAAAGTGTTGATAGATTTGATTTAATGTTTGTGCTTAATGCTTTGAAGTATTGAACAGCCATAAAGAATGAACACTGAATGTGTTGACATTGAGTTAATAACTGATTAAAATATGATTTCTCATTTGTTATTAGTTTTGATTTCACTGCATCATCTAGAAAAATGAGTGAATGCAAAAATTCTCTATCAAAATTTGAAATAGAAAGTGTTTCAAATAATTCATCCGTTGTTTATCAATAATTTTATCCTCTAATCCTTGCTTCTTGATTGTATTATATAATTCTTTATACATTAAAAAGTTTTTAAATAATCTTCTGCTTCTTCTTGTGATAAATAAATAATTGGAATTTTGATTAAATGCTTTAAAGATTCAAATGTATCATCTGAAGGTGAACCTGAACGGTTGATATAAATTAACACATGTGAATGGGGGGAAGTGTTAGCAATAATGATAATTTGTTTTAATATCGTTAATGTTTTACCTTTATTTTGTTTACCAATTGCTGCCGTGATTGAATTTAAGTAACATTCAGAATATGGAATTTTCATTAATTTTTCCTTAGATAGAGCATTTCTATTATCACTCAATGCTTCATTAATCATATCATCTACGTATGTATTATATACTCCTGCTAATTCTTCATAAGGGGTGGATGAATTTAAATCCATTTAATCAAAAATAAATTTATAATTTTAAACATTTCTATTCATCAATATTTCATCATATGAACTTCTATACTGTGGTGGTGTACCTGTTGGATGATATTTCAAACCTTCATCCGGTGTCCATGTCCAATATGTAGTCCTAGTAAACCAAACCTGAGGAGGATTTGTCACCTTTGAACAGTAAGTGTCATTTACACCCTGAATGATTGGATAAGCTTTCACTTGTACTGTAACTTGTGAGTTGAAAGTTTCTAATCCATCAAAGAATATACCCGCTCCATCACGTTGAACTGGAATAGTGCATAAGAATGAAGTTTGGTCTTTCCATGTTCTAGCTAATGGCGTGCCATTATCATCATTCAGTGGTCTAGTTAATGAGTCCTCATATTCTTCTGTGCATTCATTCACTCCATCTAAATCAGAAGCTTGAAGCATACGTGTAAAGAATATGTCACCCACTGTGGTCATCGCTTGATCGGGGAAGTTTCTGGAATCTATAGTGACCTGAAGACCTCGAAGCATTGGATTTTCTAAAACCGTTCTTTGCATTGCATTCTTCGGA